ATACTAGCTTATTACCCGGCCCGTTGGCCGGATTACTGTATGTTACCCACTTGTGGAATGGGAGAGAAAGCAAGTGAGAGTGAAGGGATTGGGATTCCACTTGATTAGGACCGACCCACTAATCCGATTCTTCCCGACCCGCCCCAACCTAAAGGGTCAGAAAGAGTCAATAAGAAAATACGAACGGAGAGGATTAGACATATATCTTGACTCTTCAGAAGTGGGTCAAACAGGATCAAGGTTGGGTGAGGGCAATTTTTAGCGTTAAGCAGAGTTCTGGGTTGAATAACTTTACTTAGGCCTAGAAATTGGTGCTGATGCATACTGCAGTTTTTATTATACCATCATCAATCATCATTGAATTAGTCCTGGGCATCCCTCCCCGTTGTCGGTCTGAATTCTAATGATGGCTTCATTCCTTGCACCAGCCATATCAGCGAGTTGTCATCTCGAGCATGATTTGCCTATGTACAAATGATACAATTAGAGTATGAAACTGAATTCAAAGAAAATGAAAAGAGAATTCTATCACATGCCAATAAATACACACATAATAGTTGAAGCTAAGTGAAAGTCATTACTCGCACATCAATTCTAAAAAATTACAGACTAAACAAGGGCTAGAATGGCACTGAAACTACCAAGAATCCTGGACGAAACAACTTGTCAAATTAAATAATCCTTATACTGAAATTACCTTCTAATTTGAAATAAGACATGATCACAGTTCATAGCACTCTTATCACTATGAATTGGTTGCAACTCGTCCTTATCACTGCCTCATAAGCTCAATTCAAACAGAATAGAGACCGTTATGTAAGATAACCATATCCTTACTAATCATAATTCCTTTCTTCACTCCATTTGTGTCGGAGAAAAGAGTTATCCGCCTCTTCTGCATTTCCCTTTCCCCTCTCTTCTCCCTCTTCTTCACAAACCGATCCCTAAACCAGCAACAACAGCACAAAAATAGCCTTTGCCTCTGCCATCTCCATCTACTGAACGTGTTGGTGGCAAGACAGGACTGCAGAAGCAAAATTTTCTAAAATCAAACTAAATTTTTTGAAGGAGACTCAACCACGAAAAAAGAGTAAAGCAACAATGCTAATAGTTCAGATGGTTGGTTTTGATGTTATACGTTGCTTTTGTTATGGTCTCCAGTATATCAACTGCAACAAAGATGTTTCCTTCAATCATCTTTAGTGCATGATTTAGAAGTAAGTCCTCTTGTCTGTGTCAAACGGAAACATTCATGGGTTCTTAACTTCCCTGTTAGTGTAAATGCAGCAGCAGCATCAAAGAAGTTTGACAACACAGCAAGCACCCAAGCAAAATGATACAATGCAGTAGGTGATATGTGTCTCGAAGGTTTTGAGTTACTAAAGTTCATGTTAAAAATAAACATGAATTAAAATGGATTATTCTATTAAGCAAACATCCCCTCTAATCATACAAAGATCAGATATCCAATTCACAAACAATTAAGCCATAAAAAATCATCACACATCCACCACGTTTGATTGCCTAAATTTGGTTTTTCGCAAAGTTATGGACTCTTAAGGGTAACGTTCATGGGTAGTCTGTTTCATAACTCTAGAGAGCACAGTAAGCAGCCACCAGCCAAACATAGTGCGGTAGGCAAATATGATTCTCAATTCACAATTTCTCACCACCGGAAGTAAGAACAGACCATAATAAGCGTAGCGTTCATGGGTGGTCTGTTTCATAGCACTACTACACAATTTGTTAAAAAAGAAAGAAAGGTATTTAGCATCACGACGGAACAACTTTTACAGGCCAACAACGACAACATGCTGCAACCACCAGAACTGGTATCACAACTCATAGGGAAAATCAAAAGATTTACTCTCAAATGGCTAAATTACACGTTTGGTCACTCAAATTATACAAATCTTTCACGTTTGCCACCCGAATTACTTTTCTTTCTTATTCGCCACTAACTTTATGAATCGTTTCACGGTTGGTCACCGGCCGTTACACTCCGTTAAGTTTGTCCTACGTGGCAGTCAACTATAAAGTTTGACCGTTAACTAGATGACGTGGAAATTAAAAAAAATAAAAAAAAATAATTTTTTCTTTCTACCTCATCATTGCACTTATTTTGTCTATATAATTTATCATATTAATAATTTAATAAAATTTAATAGATTATAAAAATGGACACCCAGAGGCGAAGCTCATGGACGTCGGCGCCCCAGGGTCTCTTTACCAGGAGACAAATTGCTGGAGCTGGAGCCTTCTTCATCAGCTGGTTCACTAGCAGCAGCATCTTGGTGTGTAACTATGCTAGGTTTCTCCACCATTTTAGAAGAATGCAAACCCAGGGTGCAAGGAGTGAGCACGGGCTTTGTTGAGGATCTGGGAAATAGCTCTGGAAAAACCCAAGGGCTCTTAGCGTGACCCTGCAGAAAGAAAACGCAGCAGTTAAACCCCCATTCCAACACCAGAAGGCAGAAACTTCAACGGGTCCACGATTTCAATTCTTGGAAGAGAGCAAGCAAAACTGAAAAATCCCACTTCGAAGCGTTCCCCCGATTTCAATTCTCAGATGGCTTATCAACAAATGGCCCCAAGTTACTACCCGAAAACAGAAAACCCTGCTCCTTCAAAAGTTCCCTCATTTTGCTTTTCTCAGCAGCCAAAACATCCAAATAAGAAAACCCTCTTAAGAAACAAAGAGCGGGTAGGGTTAGGGCCTAGGGGCTTCAAACCCATTTTCCATATCTTCACTTTCAGGCGCCAAAAATAGAAGATCTTCCATTTTGACACAAAACAAGGGAGAAGAGGGAAATTAATAAGCTACCAGAACCTGAATTTTGGGTTTCTTTGTAAAGGAAGCAGGGTTAGGGCGCAGTTGAGGAGAGCCAGGACTTGAAGTGGGTTGCAGCCTCGCCGATCTCCTGAGAGATCCTCCTAATTCATCTCTCTGCTCTTTTGGGCTCTCTTGAGTTCTCTTGCTCGTTCCCCTCGCTGCCTTTTTCCTCATTTTCTTGGTCTTTTCCTACTCGTTGTTGCTGCGAGGCGATCGGTTGATCAGTTCTGCAGCACCTCTCTGTTTCCTTGCACGGCTTAAAGAGACCGTTGGCTTGTGATCAATGGTGAAGTGAAGTCTGAAGAGGTAGAAAGAAAAAATAATCTATTAAATTTTATTAAATTATTAATATGATAAATTATATAGACAAAATAAGTGCAATGATGAGGTAGAAAGAAAAAGAAAAATTTAATTTCCACGTCATCTAGTTAACGGTCAAACTTTATAGTTGACTGCCACGTAGGACAAACTTAACGGAGTGTAACGGCCGGTGACCAACCGTGAAACGATTCGTAAAGTTAGTGGCGAATAAGAAAGAAAAGTAATTCGGGTGGCAAACGTGAAAAATTTGTATAATTTGAGTGACCAAACGTGTAATTTAGCTACTCTCAAATTAAGTAGTTACGACATCGAGCAATCGTCAAGCACATACACCATCACAAAAGTCACGGAACCTGATTCACAAATCATTCAAACATTTGAGGACATTTATGCAAATGTACAACTTATATGTCTTTTTTCCAAGCCATTTCCATCAACATGCTAATAAATTTGCAATGCATAAAACAAACGGGCCAAAACTTGAAATTCAGCCTGTTTGACCGACCCATGCCAAGTTCTAATTATTCTTTACTTTTAAACTTTCTATTTGAAAATAAAAAATAGTGAAAGAAAATAGACGACTACAATTCGCCATTTGCACATCACTTATTCTGGAATAAAACCATAGAAATTCGAAAGGAACTGAAAATGTTTAGGATCGTTTTAATGTTTAAAATAACCAAATATATCTTTATGTTTAGTTTTTTACTAACAAATACCAAACGATTCCCTATAAAATACACTATAATTTGATCATTATGATGTCAAATAATTATAAAATATATATTTGAAATGATAAAAATTGGACTAATTGGGTTGATCGAGGTTGAACCATTGAATAACTTTAAAATACATTATATTTTAGCCACTAAGATATAAAATAATAGCATAATATATATTATGCCATAGAAAATAGCTTGTTTTAGAATGGCAAACCAATGATGTTCATTTGTTTTACTTGATGGCCAAATCCCATGTAGGTCAGGCCCATTCAACTCTTTTATTTTTTGGTTAGCGGTTAGCCCATTAGATACCATGCATTAGTTTATTGTTAAATTTTTTATTTTTAACAATAAAAAGGAGTATTATTTTTGCCTTTTCATATATATTTTATCATCACGGAGAAATAAAAGGGTATAAAGAAAAAAATTGACACTCCTGGACCCGTTTAAATCCGCATGTGTACGGTAAGTTGGCCCGTTCCACAGAGGAAAGAGAAAAAAATTGACACTCCATATTCTACCCTTCCTACAAACGCTCCTAGAGCAGGGAATTTGAAATGGGGGAAGAGTTTTTTCCACCCTGCTATTATATGTTTTTAATTTAAATGAATACAACAAATGTACTTAGTGTGATTGGTTATGATCGTTGTCTTTCTTTAAAATGGTCCTGGTTCAAATCCCAGTATGTATCATTTTAATGAATAAAAAAAAAAAATTGTGAAAACCAAAATGTCCTTCCTACTTTCACTCTCGTTGCAGGAAATTTGAAATGGGTCTCTCTATTATAAGTATAGTAGACTAGGGTAAAGGGTAGTTTAGGTATTCTATATACAATTTTGGAGCCGGATGTTACAATCTATCTCAAATATATATATATGTAACCGGAAAAAAAGCGAGTCAGAATTGGGCCGGCCGGCCCAGAATAAGAAATAAAGCTAAAAAGTAGCAGGACTGTTTGAAAATCAAATCCGAATCCGATTAGGAGACCGCAAAAGAGCGGCCGCGTCCAGTCCACAATAAGAGTACTCAATCCTTAACGCATCTATCTCGTTGATTCACTTCACCTTTCGCCGGCATCTCATCTCATCTCGGTGCCATCTGGGTTTCCCTTTCCATCGGTGACAATGTCCGCCGGCGAAAGCTACAGGTCGGCTAAGAAGCGGCGGCGCCTGGTAGTAGGAGATGCATTGGCAGCAGCAGCCGGAACTAGTACTGAATTCCATCGCCCTCCCACAAAAAAATTGCGAATCCGATTCAAAGGGCCAGAGCATGCAATCAGCCGACTGGGCAACGACCTCATCGAAGAAATCCTGATTCGCCTCCCAAACCCTAGATCCGCCTCCCGCTGCAAGCCAGTATGCAGGCGGTGGAACTCCATGATCTCCAGTCCCTCCTTCAATCGCCGCTTCGTCTCTCACCACCAGAGCAAAAACAGAGAACCACCTCTGCTTCTTCCCTCCGACGATCCCCTCTCGTCTTCGATGCTGAGCTTCCTTCCCGTGCCTGGAGAATTTCGATCCAAATTCATAGTTTGGGATTCCTTCAAGGACTTACTCCTATGCGGATTTAAGGATTGGGGTAGATCGACCTATTTCGAAATGGGCAGATTGTTCTTTCTCTGCAATCCGTTTACAGAGCAATGGGTCGCCCTTCCTCTGGCGCCTGAGAGGATAACCCGCCGTTATCGAACAGCGGAAGTCAGATTGGTCTGCGAGGAAGTTGGTAATTCTAATACCAGTTTGGATATGGGAGATGGACAAGCATTCGTGTACTCTTCCGACTATCGATTCCGCGTTCTGCTAGCGTATGAAGCCCTTTCAATGACGCTATGTGATTTCGAACTATACGTATTCTGTTCCAAGTCTCGAAGATGGTCGAGGAGAAAGAATCTTCGTCTTCAAACTGATGCAGCATCGTCGAATGGGAAGTTGTACTGGAAGTGTCAACAGGAAATTTGCAGCTCGGATCCTTCCCGCCGGAATATGCGTCCGATCACCATCGATGAAATGGAATTCATGGAGTTCTCTTACGGATCGTCACTTCGGTTCTCCCATTTGTCGTCCTCTGATGGCGGTCTGTACATAATCCAACTTGAACCGAAACTCAGTGATCAGCAACAGCATGGAAACTGGGTTCCACCGAGTGACAGAGATGTTTTCAGAGTTTGGAAGTGGGAAGAAGGGAGCATGAAGTGGACGATGTGCTACGAAGCGTTGCTGGGGACGATGAAGCGCAACAGCGGTTCTGAAGTTGAGGATCTGGAAGTTGTATCCGTGCTTGCTCAACATCCAAACAAGCCCGAAATCTTCTTCTTGAAATGTTATCGGAAGCCACGCTCTGTCGTTTTTTCGTGCAATTTTAGGACTAGAAAGATAGAGCTCCTTAGTGACCGTATACCATACAAGGCTTTTAAGCGTTGGATAGCATTCCAGCCTAGAACCACTTGCTTCGCTACATCGATTCCTAGCTATGGAAAATTGCTAGATATGTATAATGGAAGAGTTCATGGTTTAGTTCAAAAGAGAAAATCAACTTGATTACTCAATTGTAAACAAGAAGAAAAAAAGGTTATCCTTTGAGCTTTTGAATGTAATCTCAGGTCTTTCCTTTTTCTTTTTTTTTTTACGATGGCAAGTAAAGCAAAGTTTACTTGATAAACAAACCGTCTAAACTAGCTTATGAAATCAGCGGTGTATTAGTATTGTAGGTTTAGTTACAAATGTCATAGAGAGTGTACAAAAGTGCAACCTTTTTTGTTTTTCGAACAATACAATCGCTCTTAATATTTCGACGCTCTTAATATTTTCGATTATCATTTTTGGAGTAGCCCTCCAAAAATTCCTAATAATTTTTCATTTCTAACCCTTCACATAGTAAATTGTGGGTTCGCTTGTACAATTACGGTTTGCCTATCTTTCTATGGATTGCCTCCCATAAATTATACACTTCCGATAATGAACGTCCATGAGTATAGAACTTTTTCTTATCTAATTTGTAATATAACACTTTGCCCATCGAAAGCCTAATTATTTCTCACTCTGCTTTAACTTGTACTAATGAAAAGGTGTCCCATTTCGTTTGAATTTCTCAGCTTCTTATGGCTCGTTTGGTTTTGGTGATAGTTTGGTTGAGATAGTTATAAAGTATGCATTGTTCACAGTACATTTTTTTTTAATTTTCTGCACAAATAATATATGCATTGTTTGTTTGATGTGACACAAACTAATGAGTGATAGTTAAATCTCAAGATTTTGTTGAGATCGTTTGAATGAGATTGTTGAGCTTTTTTCTTCCAACTATGTCCCTACTTTTTTATGTGTGTTGCTTTCTTATATAAAAAAAACAATGGATAAAAGAGACATTTCACCCAAAAAGTAATATAACTTATTTAAATACTACAATAAGTATCACATAAAACAAACAATGTAAACTACAATACACCAATTTTCTTATATACATGTATATTATTATGCATGCATTGATGACAATGCATCGATTTAGGAGTCGTTTGGTTTTGGTGATTGTTTGGTTGGGATAGTTACAATGCATGTATTGTCCACAATGCATTTTTTTTTTTAATTTTCTGCACAAACTATACATGCATTGTTTGCTTGATGTAATGGAAATTATCACTCAAAATGAGTGATAGTAATATCTCAAGCTTTTGGTGAGATTTTTGGAGTGTTTTCTTCTTCCAACTATGTCCCTACCTTTTTATTTGTTTTACTTTTTTATATTAAAAAAAAGGGTAAAAATGATATTTCACCTAAAAAGCAATATATCTTATTTAAATACTAGAATAATTATCATAAAACCAAACGATGTAAACTACAATACATCAATTTTCTTATATGCATGTATATTATGCATGTATCGATAATAATGCATCTATTTAACTATCATCAAAACCAAACGACCCCTTAACTATCACCAAAACCAAACTGATGCCTTTATTTTATGGAGATGAAAGACATTCATTCAAAACTGTGCACTATTAGCAAGAGCCGAGATAACTAGTTGAACCTTTCTTGCATGTGTAAGTTGTTTAGGCTGCCACCTCTGCGCCTTCCCTATAAGCTTTCCCACTAGCATCTTGCAGTCAGCAACATTTAGTTTACTAGGTACAAGTAGGGGTGCCTATTCGGTTTTGGGTTTCGGGTTCAACCAAAACCGAACTGCTAAAGGGTCTTTTTGGGTTTGGATTTTGTGTTTATAATGGGTTAGGGTTTTCGGGTTTGGTTTCGAGTTTCGGGTTCTTGTTTAGACAGGATGCCCTTCCCCACACGGCTAATTAGTGACCACACAAATTTTTTTGGTTTTCGGGTTTCAGATAACCAAACCGAAACCATTAGTGGACTTTTTCGTGTTGGGGGGTTTTTCGGGTTACGAGCACAAAAGAGTCACAGAACTTTGCACTTCGTACAATACATTCATAATGTTTAATTTGTAACGATTTAGCATCAAGTCTTTACATTTAGTACAAACGATCACAAATTAAACAAAGATGACCATTTCAAAAATTAAACTTTTGTGACCATTCTGTTCGAAGGCCAATGGTTTGAATGATCCATCATTGTTTACAATTCACCCAAGTCGAGGTATGGTGACTTTATTAGTTTATGTGGACGATATGATCGTAATAAAAGATGCAAGTGAGGGAATTTAACGCGTCACAAACAGTTTGCAGGCTGACTTTCAAATTTTGTATCACTATTATGCCTCGAGTACAAATATAATAATATAATAATTACGTTTTCTTTACACTCTTAATATTCAACTAGTTATCTAGCCCGCGCTATGCGTCGGGAAGAATATTTGAAACCCTTTACTTGTATGATCCACTTTATAATGGAAAGTCGTATAGCAAGGTGTGACTCTCGAATGTGTGAATATCATCTGTTAGAAGCATTGGGAGGGAACAATGGCGTTGTTTGAGAAGTTTGCAATGCAATCTTTGGCTGCAGTTAAAACTTAAAATGCAAATATCAGTTGGGCAGTTTTTGTAATTGTAAGGAATTCGAAATCTATTCAAATGTAAATCCTAAAGAAAAGCAAAATGATTTTATGAGGATGTACGTTGAAAGCACCTGGTGGACAGGTGGAGTGTCTTTCCACTCATCCTATTCATATTTAAGAGCAGGTAGATGAAAGTAAGAACTGAGACAGAATTCAAAGCTGAAACATGCCTATACAACATGAAGTAACATTATGATATGATTGTTTCCCAAGGTTAGCGAGAGGAGTTAGTTAACTAAGCATATCGTTGAAAGAAAGGTTATTAGGTTAGAGTTCTATATACACAATAAACTTAAAACAGTAAGTAACCCAATTAATCTCCCTAGCCAAGGTCACTGTGATCTTAAAACAGTAAGAAACTCAATCAATCTCCCTAGGCAAGGGCGCAATTAAGGCCACTGTGTATTGATTAGTGATCAAATTCCTATTCTACATAAACATCAGAGTTGGTAAGAGAAGATTCATCACCCTCTTCGTTAACTGACAACAAAGCAACGATCAAGCTTACAACCGCTTGACCTCCCACTTTTATTTCTCCCACTGACCAAGATAATGCTAGGAAAACCACATTTGCTTTCAATTTGACAGCTGAAACTCAAGATTTACGTACCTAGCTCATTGATTACATACGAAGCAGGGACTGCATAAATAAATAAATAAAATCCAGACTGTTAAGGAACTTTACCAGAGATGTTTTTTTTTGTTTTTACCCTTCTAGGATACTTTATTATCTCATCAAGATGCAGCTCGGATTGTGTAACAAAACATCACCAAACACCCACATGAGAATTCTTAAGTCAATTTTCCATTCTACACAGATCAAGAGTAACTAATGGAATGGTTCGTGCCAAACTTATTTGTATAAGCAAATTCATTGAGCAAAAATCAAGATTACGAAGGAAACCTTGGGTAATTTGCTTTAATATCGAGCAACTTCAAAGACTTTAAGATCGTTGGCCGAATCAATAGCATTTATCAACGTAAAGAAAGTTTTTATTCATTCCATATATGAAAAGAGTTGGATTGATAACCACACAAACATAGTAAGTAAATTAGATACAATTGAACTATTATATATTGAAATATAATACAAACTTAACATATACACAAATGTAGAGACGTTTGTTAATCATTTCAAAATTCAGATACTTTTATATAATACAGTAGTCAGAGATGCTTTCTTGTCAATCCTCTTGAGCTGCAATAACCACAGCAGTTGTCGTATGTGTTCAACTCGACAAATATGTTTTCATGGAAGTCTTCGAGGGAAATAAATCAACCCAAATCCTATCAATACTTAAGACGCATAGCCTAGTTCAGCTTGCAAGCATATCTGTACTGTACTGTACTGTACGCACATGAAACTGATTCTACCAAACAAACCACCAAGTGTTGTGAACTAATCAGCTCTTCTATGATTTGGATTTACCTATGACATGACATGACTTGGATATCAGTTCTTTTATAACTTTGCATGCACCCAACATGAATTCTATAAACTGGCGAATAAGCTAAAACGAAATGAGTTAATGGTATGCAGTGAAAATGGAAACTAAAAAGAAATGTGATCCAAGAAAACACCAAGCTTGCAACAGAACAATCCTCTTGAATATGCAAATCACAACTTTGTATTTCAAATCCGTCGCTTCAATATCACTCTGTTGATGAGGCATGAAATTAAATTCAACGTTCAACAAACATAAATAATAGAAACTGCAAAATGAATCGATGTATAACCAGCCTTGTGCACATCTCTTAGAAGTGGCATGGGTACCCGGAAATGAGCAGGAGCTAATATCTTGATAGTCTCTGTTGTGCTAGCTGGAAGTGGATTTTCCTTTGAGCCTTTGCCGTGACTTCTTTCTTCTACATCATATTTGGATTGTGGAATTCAGAAGCAGAGTTGGTCTCTCTTGTAGATCAGAAGAAACATATGTGGGCACAATACATGGAACAAAAGTTTAACAGTGATATAAACCTTAGATGAAAAGAAAAGTAGTCAGAAACCAATGTCAATTTTGGTTGGGTGATCAAGACACCAAGGATGGATTTACTTACTGAAACATGGCAATTATATTCTTGTCCATCTACTTGTAGCATGGATGTCTCTCTAGTCTCAAATGAGAAGACCAAATTAAGTGGGCATCAGAAGTTCAGAACCATAGAATCAATCTGCGCATATATGTGTATGTAATTAAAGGTGGTATGTGGTGCTTCGGAAGAAGAAAGGGACAAAATTCTCTTAATAAAGCTCATCCAAACCAAACCACCTCTCAAACAAAACGAAAGGTAATTTCTTCCTCGGCTCCGGATAGCATAACAACACCTAAGGTGTTGTTATTATAACAACAGGGGTATAAGGGTAACTGCACAATAATAACTGCACAATAATTAAATAATTGTTTTCTTTTACCTGGCATTAATTTTGAAATTCAAAAATAATAATAAAATTCATTGAAGCGCGCGTTGAGACATTTCAGTTTTCCGCTTTCCCCTTTCCCCTCTGCTCACGAACTGCTCACGAACTGCTCTCCGACGGGACGTCTGCTTCGGTCTCCCTGTTCTCGCCACCAAATTTGCATCTGCATCGAGCGATTTCGTCTGCGGCTTGTGGATTTCCTTCGCGCGATTCTGTTTCCTCCGTCGCCGAAGTGAATTTCGAGGTATGCCGGTGATTTCCTCCGATAAACTGGAACTGTCTTCTCCTCCGTCGTCAGTTTTGGTCTGCGAAGTCGCCGTTGTCGTTTAGCGTCGCCGGAGTTCCACTTGTATGGTGTTAGTTTGGCGTCGCCGTTTTCGTTTTCGTTAGCATTGTCATTGCTTGCTTCTGCTATTGAATTTACAACCTTCGTTTTCATGTTTGCCCTCTGTTACTTTCGTTTTCCAGTTTTCTGCGATGTTTTGACGCATGCAGTCTAAATTTGTTGAAGGAGACGAGGAAATTTCATAGTTGTGCGTTCTGGTTAGGTTTTGTTGGATGTTTCTTCATTTTTGTGGTGTGCTTTGATTATTTTAGGGTTTCTGGTTTCTCATGAGTCGTTTGTGGTGTTGTTTAGTAGTTCTGTTGTTTTTTTCTATATTTTGGTGGTGCGCTTTGTGTTTGGTGACAGTTAGGGTGTTTGTGGGTTGGATTGGGGCCTTTCTGGAGGGTTTTAATAAAACTATTGTGTATTTTAGGGTTTCTGGTTTCTCATGAGTCGTTTGTGGTGTGCTTTGTGTTTGGTGACAGTTAGGGTGTTTGTGGGTTGGATTGGTGCCTTTCTGGAGGGTTTTAATAAAACTATTGTGTACTTTCAGGCTACTGTTGGTGGTTCTTTTAAAAGGTTTTGTGGTTTGTGTTTCGGATTTCACGGTTTGGTTTAGAAGATTTACTGGTGTGCATTTGCAGTTGTTGTTTGTCTCCTTTACATCTGATTATTGAGTCGTTTGTGGTGGTGTTCAGTAGTTCTGTTGTTTTGTTCTTTTTTTTTTTTGTGGTGCGCTTTGTGTTTGGTGACATTTAGGGTGTTTGTGGGTTGGATTGGGGCCTTTCTGGTGTTTTTCCAGGGTGATGTTGGTGGTTCATTTGGAGTTGTTGTTTGTCTGCTTTAAATTTGATTATTGGATTGTTTTCATGGGTTTACAGTTTGCATTAGGCCCTTAATGGTTTGGATTTTATATGTTCTGGTATGAGATTGCTTATGTTGGTTTGTGTTTTGGTTGCTTTGTAGGCATGGCACCTGCTAAGAAACGTGCAGTAAAGGGGAAAGAAAAGGAAAAAGTTCCAACACCTAAGCAAGAGAAAGATGGTGCAGTAAAGGGGAAAGAAAAAGAAAAAGTTGCAACACCTAAGCGAGAGAAAGATGGTGCTTCTCCTGTGCCTGGAAAGCCGGATAAGAGGCATCGTAGTAATACTAATCGTATTCTTGCCATCATGGAAGCTGACAGTACAAGTGAAGAAAAACTGCAGATGCTTGATCCTCTGGGTTTTAGGGGTGTGTCGAGGGTTAAGCTTACGAGACTCCCGGATAATTTTATTGAATGGCTTTGCAAAAGCTTTGATGTGAGTTCAAGGTCTTTCCCGCTGCTACGGTCAGGGAAGTTTAGAATTGGAGAGGCAGATGTGGAGAGAGTCTATGGTTTGCCGCGTGGACCGTATGCTGTTAAGCTGGATATGTTCAGTGCAGCCCAGAGGCACAGGTGGGGAATTGAGTTAGGGCTTTCCAATACTAAGAAAGGAAAGGCGTCATTGGCAAACGTTAAACTGGCATTGGAAGAGGAGAGGGACAATAAGAAGTGGAGGGATCTTTTTGTACTGTATGCAATGGAGGCAGTTCTGTGTCCCAGTGGAAATTTGAAGATTAACCTCTCCTATGCTGGTTTTTTGCAAGATGAAATGGTTGCTGACTTCACCCAATATAATTGGTGTAAGCATGTGGCTGACCATTTTAATGACAGTATGGTTGAAGTGGTTCAATCAAAGTCAAAGTTCCCTGGTGACGTTCATCTTCTTTTTGTAAGTGAATAAATATACCCCTTTTCGAATTTTGGTTTACTGTTTCATTTATGGTTTGTTTATTGACGAATGTGGTGTGGTTGAAGATGTTTATGGTTTGTTTAAGAGTTTTAATGGTTTGCTTTTGCCCCCCCCCCCTGTGTTATAATGTTTCTGGTATTGTTTTTCATTTATGGTTTGTTTATTGACTAATGTGGTGTGGTTGAAGATGTTTATGGTTTGTTTAAGAATATGTATGGTTTGCTTTACCCCCCTTTGTTATAATGTTTCTGCTATTGTTTATCATTTATGGTTTGTTTATTGACGAATCTGGTGTGGTTGAAGATGTTTATGGTTTGTTTAAGAATATTTATGGTTTGCTTTTGCCCCTCCCCCCCTGGTTGTGTGGTGTGTATTATAATCTTTCTGGCACAGTTTGTTTGTGGTTGCTTGACTTCTGTCTGTTTGTATATGTGGCAGATTTCGATTCTTGACCGTGTGAAGAACCCCCCTGAGCTGCCCATACCGACCTGTAGGCATAGGTCGTACAAAGTCGCAAGTGATGCTTTTCAAGTACTGATGGACGAAGGTCATCTCAATATTGGTCATCGAGATGTAGTGATGGAAGAAGAAGCAACCTCCAGTCAACCAATGGGACGAGAACGTGTGCTGGGTTCAAAGAGGAAAAGGCCGGTAGATGATCTTGATATGGTGAGGGAAGGGGATCTTCCGAAGCTTCCCCATCTTGACCTCAACTTGGATGGTGTTCATTCGGTTGAAGAAGTGAGTGATTTTTTCTGTGTTATTCGTTTTATGTCTTTCTTTAGAGTACTTTCAGTGTGCTTTACAAGTATAGTGGTTTGCATTAGTTTGTTTACGGAATACTTTATTTTATTCATGTGCTGGTTAGTTGTGTTTTCTGTTGTTTGTTCTTTGGCTTGCTTTAGTGTACTTGTGGTTTCTATTAAAAGAATAGTGGTTTGCATTACTTCGTTAAAGGAATATTTTATGGTACTCATCGTTTGGTAGGTGTTTTTCTGTGAGAACTCAAACATATGTGGTTCGTATAAGTGTGTTTTAGGTGTTCATTAAAAGGAATGTGAGATTCTTTAGAAGGTTTATGGTTTGCTTTTGGGCTGTTCAGTAACTTTGGGCTGTTTTCGTGTTTTTGTAGGCATATCAGTTGAAGAATGACATGGAAAGTTATAAGAGGGCTTTGTTGAGGATGGCTGCTCATTACAGTTCGAGCATTGAACAAGTTGATGATCATATAAAGATGCTGGAGGGGCAGCAACCAGAGGATAGTCCTGAAGATAATGTCGATTTCACTGATAGAGTTGATGATGTTTCTGTTGCTAAGGGAACCAATGATGTCGGTCGCAATGCATCTGCTGCCAATGCTGATGATGAGACTGGTGCTAACAGTCCAAAGTCCCCGGGTCTTGATGATTTGTCAATGGAGATGGATAAGGATGGTGCTGGTAGTGTTGATGTTGTGTTGCCAGATGTTGGTCACAATGATCCTGCTGGCACTGCTAATGATGATACCTCTCCTAAGGGAGTGTTAGATTCGGAGGGACTTGATGATCATCTTGATAATCTGACAATGGAGATGACACAAAAAAGTGTTGATTCTGAGAATGCTAAGAAGGTGATGGAGATGGACAGCTGTGAGGAAAAGGGACAAGGTGATGATGGAGATGACAATGTTGATGCTGCTAAGTTGGATAACTTGGTTGAGAAGGTCGTAAAGGTATTTTTACTGTTTTGTGTTTGAATATTTGTGGTGTGGATTATACTGTTTTTGGTTTGTTTGTCATGTCTTTTGTAGTTGGTTGTTTTGCATTTGTTAGTGGTGTGGTTTACATATATCTGGTTTTGTTAAACACTTTTGTGGTTTGGTTTCTGTAGTCTGCTATGGGGGATGTTTGTGAAGATGTGGTGGTTGATGAGAAAAGGAAAGAAGCTGATTCTGAGAATGCTAAGAAGGTGATGGAGATGGACAGCTGTGAGGAAAAGGGACAAGGTGATGATGGAGATGACAATGTTGATGGTGTTGATGCTGCTAAGTTGGATAACTTGGTTGAGAAGGTCGTAAAGGTATTCTTACTGTTTTGTGTTTGAATATTTGTGGTGTGGATTATACTGTTTTTGGTTTGTTTGTCATGTCTTTTGTAGTAGTTTGTTTTGCATTTGTTAGTGGTGTGGTTTACATATATCTGGTTTTGTTAAACACTTTTGTGGTTTGGTTTCTGTAGTCTGCTATGGGGGATGTTTGTGAAGATGTGGTGGTTGATGAGAAAAGGAAAGAAGCTGATGCCGGTGAGGTGCTTGAGGGTGGTGATGGTAGTGGAGATTTAACATTGAGTCAGCTAGTTAGGGAGGGAAAGGTAATTTGTTATACAAAGGTAATTTGTTGTACTATGTTTCAGTTTTGGTTTGTGTTAGTTGTTTTTAGTGTTGTTTTATCTAATTTGTGGGTTGCTTTAAAAATCAGAAAAAATTTAAAGTGAAGAATGCAGGAAGCTCATCCGGTGTTGATATTGATGTGTTGAAGGGTGCTGTGTTGCGATATGCAAGGGATTCGAATAACTTGTAAGTTAATGTGTATAGATTTCATACATATGCGGTTGTTTGTATATATTTTTTTATATAGTGCTTATTAGTACTTTTCTAATGCCGACTGTTTTGTTTGTTATGGATTATGAAAAATAGGAAGGAAATCCTTTTCAGTCGTGTTGATGGATTCGATTGCTTGTATAGAAAGGACACAGAGACTTTGGCACATGGGAAATGTGTGAGTGTGGATGTTATTGACTGCTATGCTGCCTATCTGAATCGGGAGCAAGTGAGAAGAGGGCAACTGAAAAGATGGGTGTTCTATTCAGGGCTGGCGGTGAGTTACATTTTCTGCTAGTTCTGTTTTGTTTTAGGGTTTTTGTGGTGTGCATTATAATAGGTCTGGTTTGGTTTAAGGGTTTTGTGTTGTGCATTATAAGACGTCTGGTTTGCTTTAGGGTTTTAGTGGTGTGCATTATAATACTTCTGGTTTGTTTTAGGGTTTTGTGGTGTGCATTATAATATGTCTGGTTTGTTTTACTGTGTTTATGTTGTGTTCTACCTTGTAGCAAAAAGTGCAGGGGATAGTGAAGAACTCTGGACCACTGCCTAATTTTTTTGAAGAGACTGATGAAATTATTACAAGTTGCAAGTGGATACCAGATGGTTTGGATTTCTCACAATGTGATTATGTATGTATTTTTTTAGTCAGATTTGCTAGATTGTTTCATGTGTGTTTTTTCTTCATTGTGCTTTTGGAGTACTGACTTGTTTTTGTTCTGCATGCAGTGGATGTTCCCCCACTGTTCTGATGACCACTACAGGATGTATGTAGTGAATCTGAAGAACAAACGGTATGATTATCTTGACAGTCTTTACCCTGACGAACTTGATTCCAAGTTTCGTGCTGTTGCGGATATGGTGGTCCGCTATGCCACAGAATACATTCCTGCCTGCAGAGAAGAGCCCTTCAAATTTGAAGAATTCAAGTGGGTTAGAATCGAGGGGTGAGACAACGTGGTGGGGTTGACTGTGGTGTTTTTGCTATGAATTTTGCTGAGTTTTGGGATGGCAAACTGCATCCAGCTATGAGGAATTGGCAAAGACAAATCAATCAGAGGCGGGATGAGATCACATTAACATTGCTGCTGAACAAGGAGAACAGTGTACTTGAAGAGGTGAAGAAGAAGAGTTTGGAGTTTGATCGCAAGGTGGACTAGCTGATTTTAGCATGCATTTGCAAGAACAGTTTCAGATTTCAGTGTGTTAATATGTGTTTTAGTGTGTTAATGGTGTTGATTAAGAGGATTTGTGTTCGTCGTGTATGGTGTGTATTATAAGACAAGTGGTTTGTGTTAATACATAAGTGGTTTGCTTAATGAGTGTTCTGGAAAGTTTCCATATGTTTGTGGTTTGGTTTTGTTAAGAGGTTTCGTAGTTTGTTTTCTTTCCTGTATGGTGTGGTTTGTAGTGTTTATGGTTTGGATTAGGTGGTCTGTGGTGTGGATTGTAGCGTTTTTGGGTTGGTTTAGGTGGTATCTGGGTTGTTTAACCTTGTTCGGTGTGCATTGTGGTGTTTATGGTTTGGATTAGGTGGTCTGTGGTGTGGATTGTGGGGTTTTTGGGTTGGTTTAGGTGGTATCTGTGGTTTGTTTAACCTTGTTCGGTGTGTATTGTGGTGTTTATGGTTTGGATTAGGTGGTCTGTGGTGTGGATTGTGGGGTTTTTGGGTTGGTTTAGGTGGTATCTGGGTTGTATTCAACTGTATCTGTGTTGATCAAATATTATCAAAAACCTGCAACTGTTCATATTTGTCTCATAGTTGTCATTGAAATCTAAAAGTTTATGACAGAAAAAAAACACGGATAACAACAAGGAAACTAATCACTCATTGTTGCTTTTGTAACGCTTGTTGGCGGCCTGTTCATCAATTCTTTGCTTTCTAGCCCTCTCCAGTGCTACCTCAAGTCCACCTCTTGGCCTCTTCTTTGATTTCCATGGGTCTTTTCGAGCCTTGAATCCCTTCACATTGGCATACTTGTCATTTGTAGCTGAAGCAGCAGCGCTTTGTGAGGGTGATGTATTGGTGGTTCCATCTGTTGAAAAAGCAATATGCAAGATACTGGTGAACATAAGTAGGGATTAAGCAATTAGTGGATTGGATTAAGATGTTTATGGTTTGCATTAGATCATTTGTGGCTTGGATTAAGCAATTACTGGTGAATATAAGTAGGGATGCTAACAAGATGTGTGAAATTACCAGGTACTGTTTGCTGAGTTTCTTGAGTCTGAAGGCTTTGGAAAGCTAGTTTAGTGAGCTCTGCAATCTTCTCCTTAACCATTGAGAAGACCTTGTCATTCATTGAGACTTTTGTTGCTAGGATAACCATGCTAGCACACAGTTCTTGATACCTCCCTGCATAAGTATCTGTTGCAGCACATTCTGTTGTGTTTATTGTGAACTTCTCTCCAGATTTGGCATCTCTCGTCCATCGTGGCAGAATGTATTCCTTAGGGATAGTCAATTGCTCAAAATCATCACCATTGAATCCAACCATCTCTATCTGCCTGATTACATGTCTGCACAACCAGCCTGAACTTTCAAACAAACGACATGAGCACTTGTATTTCTTCTCCTCTTTGTTCACTAACACGACTCTTTTGCCGAATCCTCCTAGTTTCTTCACTTCATAAGCTGTCATTCCATCTCTATCCATAGATTCATTCCGGAACACAAAAAAAGCAAGGCTTTCTGAATACTCCTCAAGGAAAGAACTGTAGATCTTAGTTGTGTATAATTTTGCGACTTGCTGAACAAGTGGGCTTCTGTCATACCTGTTAGAAGATGACATACAACATACAATCATTCATAAAACATCTTGTCTACATTAATGATTTTATGGTATGTATTGTACTGTTTGTGGTGTGGATTGTGGTGTTTATGGGTTGTATTAGGTGGTCTGTGGTGTGGATTGTAGGGGTTTTGGGTTGGTTTAGGTGGTATCTGGGTTGTTTAAGCTTTTGCGGTGTGCTTTGTGGTGTTTATGGTTTGGATTAGGTTGTCTGTGGTGTGGATTGTAGGGGTTTTGGGTTGGTTTAGGTGGTATCTGGGTTGTATTCAACTGTTCTGTGGATGCATTCTACAGTATAAAAAGTTCAAATAAAGGAAGTAATACGTACATGTTGTTTGGGACTGTGTTTGCCATTTGATAATCCATGTCCATTTCGTCTGATCTTTTCCGTTCGAGCAACTTGTTGAAGTATGTGAAGAACTCAACTAGGTTGTCATCTGGTTGAAGGTAGTTTCGGAGGTTGCTGTTACAAGACTCACTCAGCTGTGAGCTTCGCATACCAGCTGTGAAGTGGTCCTTAATCCATGCTGAAGACCACTGTTTTCTCACCTTGTAAATTGAATCCAACCAGTTCCTTGGATTGGTGCCTTCTTCTGGATAATATGTGTCTAGCAACCTTGACCAATTGTACTCAAATTCTTCCTCATTTTCTACTCCAAAAGTGACATATTGTAGATCTTCTAGAATGTTTGTGTTTGTGGTGTCGAGATGCTTCATTGCATTCTGCTTGATATGAAAAGTACACAAGCCATGGAATGCTTCAGGAATGACGGATCTAATCCCAGCGGCGATTGCAGCAGCTTGGTCGGTGAATATTGATGTTGGTCGGCTGCCTGACATACATTTCAAGAATGCATCGAACAACCACTTGAATGTAGCGGTTGTTTCATCATATAGGAGAGCAGCCCCGAAGATGCAAAGTGCACGATGGTGGTTGAAGCCAACAAACAAAGCTGTAAATTAAAAATAAAAAAAAGAACAACATAGAATTAAACATTGAAACAAACAAAGGCTGTCTTTTTTTATATATATGGTGTGCTTCAGGACGTTTTTAGTATGGTTTAGGAGGTTTGTGGTATGCATTGCGTAATGTTTGGTTTGCATTCAATTTCGAAATATCAAGAAAATTATCTAGTGCAAGGAATCCTTCTTAATGCAAACCACAAACCTTTTAATGCACACCACAAATCTTATAAAACAGACCACAAACCTCACAAAGCAAACCACAACATTTGCGGAAGCAGACCAGAAATCTATTAATGCAAACCACAAACCTCACAAAAGAAACCACAAACCTCACAAAGAAAACCACAAACCTCACAAAGCAAACCACAACATTTGCAAAATCCCACCAGAAACCTCCTAATGCATTATGTAATGTTTGGTATGCATTCAACTTCCAAATCTCAAGAAAATTGACTAGTGCAAGGAATACTGACCTAGTGGACGATAATTCTGGTTTGTCCTGTATGTGGTGTCGAAGCTGATCGTATCTCCGAAGCAACTGTAGTCAAACCGCATTCTTGCATCAGCCCAGAATATACTTGCAATATCTTCGTTACTATCTACCTCAATTTCATAGAAGAATGATGGATTCTTGTAAGCTTCATGGCGAAAATGTTCAAGAAGTATAGTTGCTTCGCCTGGTTTCATTGATTTCTGCCTTGTCCCTGTGATATAGTTCTTCAGATCATGAGGGGTAAAAGGTACATTCTCCCTCCCTCCTGAAGTTGTGGTGAACAACTCATATGATTTCCGTAGTGAAACTCCACAATCTGCATGCACTTTTGCGACCATTGCATGCATTTCTGAGATCCCCTTGTTCGACCTCAAGAGATGTTTGAATTTTGGAGGGAGGAGATCATGGTTGTGTTCTGTTATCCACTTGTCCAGCAGCCATTCATCCTTCTCGATATCATATCTGAATTTGATTATAGCTGGGCAGCCAACTCTAGTTTCTGGTACAGCACGTTGATAAGCCTTCACATCTATTGATCCTTTATTCTTGGGATTTGACTTGCTTGTGGTCTTGTATCCTTCTTTGCTGCAGCAATACCTAGCATATCGTGCTGTTTTGGTTGGCTGTCTTTTTGTAGAACGTTTGACAGCTCCCATGTCCCTCACGCTGAAGCCAAGGTCGTGAGCATAGTTCTTGTAGAATTGTTTTGCTTCCTCAATGGTTTTGAATGCCAACCCCAAACTAGTGTAGTCTGACTCGGACCTGTTTGATGTCACACCTGTAAGCAATGATGAAAGAAATGAGCACTTGATCATTTCATCTTGCGATAATTTTTGCTAGAAAAGTGTAAAGTGGTTTGGGTTGTAGTTATTCATGATGCTTTTATGACATTTATGGTTTGCATTACAGTGTATGATTTTTTTTACAAACAGATTGGGGAATGTAACGATTAACGTTTTAATGGTGTGTATTGAAGGTGTTTTGGTGCGTTTAAGAAGTATTGTGGTTTGTTTTGGGAAGAATGTGGTGTGTTTGGCGATGCTTTTGGTATCGTTTGTGGGATTTTTGTGGGCGGTTTAATGATTTCATCTTGCAATGATATTTGCTAGAAAAGTGAAAAGTGGTTTGCATTGTAGTTATTCATGAATCTTTTATAACATTTATGGTTTGCATTACAATGTGCTTTTTTTACAAACAGATTGCAGAATGTAACGATTTAGGTTTTAATGGTGTGCATTGGAGGTGTTTTGGTGCGTTTAAGAAGTATTGTGGTTTGTTTCTAAAGTGTTTTGGTTGATAGTCTCTTTTTTTCCTGTGGTTTGTTTTGGGACGAATGTGGTGTGTTTGGCGATGCTTTTGGTATCGTTTGTGGGATTTTTGTGGGCGGTTTGATTGGTAGTGCTTATGATATGGTAAATGGCTTGTATAAGCGTGATTGTGGTGCTCATTGTAAGAAAACAGGAAGGATTGAGTTGAGCGTACCTTCTTCTTGTTCATTGTTGCCACTGTTAGTGGAAATAGAGGTTTCCAGCTGATATCCAACTTCTGTTGCATTTTCAGAAGATGTTGCAATTTGCAGGAGTTGTTGAGCATCTACAGAACCAACAGAAACTTCATCTACACGATTCTCGTCCATCGTCAATGTCTTAGCTGCGATCAGGAGCTTGCTCAGCCGTCGCCGCCGTTGCTGTAGCTGCTGCGATCAGATCTCGTCGCCGTTGCGTTGCCGCCGTTGCTGTAGCTGCTGCGATCAGATCTCGTCGCCGTTGCTGTAGCTGCTGCGATCAGATCTCGTCGCCGCCGTTGCTGTAGCTGCTGCGATCAGGATCTCGTCGCCGCCGTTGCTGTAGCTGCTGCGATCAGGCTCTCGTCGCCGCCGTTGCGTCGCCGCCGTTGCTGTAGCTGCTGCGATCAAGCTCTCGTCGCCGCCGTTGCGTCGCCGCCGTTGCAGTAGTTGCGTTGCTCCGATGAGGATTCGTCGCCCTCGTTCAGCCTCGGCGCCGCGCGATTGGACAGAGAGAGAAACGGAGAGAGAAACGAGCTGGAAATTTTCGGACAAAAGGAGCTGGAAATTTTCGGAAAAGGAGCTGCCAATTTTTGGTAGGACAAAAATGCCCTTCCTTTGTATTTTACCCTAGTCAACGCATGAATTTCAAAAGTATGCAGAATGGTGGGTTCCTATTGGTCCACCTATGTTGTTGTTACTATAACAACAAATATGGTGTTGTCACCATATCCGCTCCCTTCTTCCTCTTCATTTCACAATCCCATCTCAAGCAATAAATTAAAACTAACATCGGCTGTGTGATCAAAACCTAACATTGGGAAAAACAAAGAGGGAAACAGATACAAACCGCGGCTTTGATTTTTGTAGAGAAGAAGACCCATGGCGGCTTCAGTTTCGCAGACCTCGATTTTGCAGCAGAGAAGAAAGAAACGGCAAAAAGAGAGATTGGCGACCGAGAAAAAATTAGAAAGCTGCATCTATTCTCCTCCAAGAGTCCCTCTGCTTCTTCCATCGATTTCGTGGAGCTAGGCAACCACCTGCATAACCTAGCCCGTTCGAGCCGTAACTTCGCTGAACTCTGATTCTTTTTTTGATTTCGTGGAGAACAAATGGGAGACAAAAAGATGCATGTATCTCCGCCCACCTCTGCTTCTTCTATACTGCTGTAATTGGCTGGGCCTACTAATTAATCTACGCCATGCTTGGCCAGCCCAAAGTAACACGGGCTTACGCTAAAATGATCTGTAGATGATTTTTAAACCTTTATCAACACTGGCTTCCGAAAATTTCTTGGTGAACCGTGATTCCGATTTTTTTGGAACTTGGGACTTAATAATTTTTAATAATAATAATAATTCTTCTTTGCAATTTAACGTTTTCACGCGTCCGCCATAAGGAGAGCAACTTTCTGAAATCCTAGGCCCTAGCAGATTTCCTGTCAAATACGGCTGAACAAATTAACAAGGTTAGGATGGGCCAGTCGGCCCACTATGTCGGCCATATTGACGTCCAGCCCAGGGGATAGCGTTTAGCAGGACTGTCGACTAAAAAATCAAATCGAAATCCGAATCAGTCTAGGAGAACGCAAAAGAGCGGCCGCGTCCACTGTGATAAAAACTAAAAAGAGTGCTCAATCTGTCAATCCTTAACCAATAAAATCTCGTTGATTCACTTTACCATCTCAGCTTTCCGGCACCTCAACTCGGTGCCATCTGGGTTTTCATTTATAACGACGACAATGGCCGCCGGCGAAGTCTACCCGTCGGCTAAGAAGCGGCGGCTGGTACGAGGAGATGCATTGGCAGCAGCAGCTGGAACTAGTACTGATTTCCATCACCCGCTCAGAAAAAAAACTGCGAATCCGATTCAAAGGGCCAGAACATCCCATCAGCCGACTGGGAGACGATCTCGTCGGAGAAATCCTGATTCGCCTCCCAAACCCTAGATCCGCCTCCCGCTGCAAACCAGTATGCAAGCGGTGGAACTCAATGATCTCCAATCCCTCCTTCAATCGCCGTTTCGTCTCTCACCACCAGAGCAGAAACAGAGAACCACCTCTGCTTCTCCCCTCCGACGACCCCCTGTCGTCGTCGATCCTGAGCTTCCTCCCCGTGCCTGGAGAAATTCGATCCGAATTCGTAATTTGGGATTCCTTCAAGGACTTGCTCCTATGCGGATTTAAGGATTGGGGTTCGGACACCGATTCCCAGATGGGCAGATTGTTCTTGCTCTGCAATCCGCTTACAAAGCAATGGGTCGCCCTTCCTCTGGCGCCTGAAAGGATAACCCGCCATTATCGAACAGCGGAAGTCAGATTGGTCTGTAAAGAAGTTCGTAATTCTAAGAAGAGTTTGGAATTGGGCGATGGACAAGTATTCATGTACTCTTCCGACTATCGATTCCTCGTTCTGCTTGAATATAGAACCTATTTAACGATGATAAGTAGGTGTGAAACATACGTGTTTTGCTCCAAGTCCCGAAAATGGTCGTGGAGAAACAATTGTCGTCTTCAACCTGATGCAGCATCGTTGAATGGGAAGCTGTACTGGAAGTATGACCAGAAAATTTGCAGGTCAATTCCTTTTCGCGGCCGGGATATGCCTCCAACAACTGTCGATGCTATGAAATTCATGGAGTTTTGTTCTCATTTTTCAGCCTCCAATGGTGCTCTATACATAATTCAACTTCAACCCGATACTGTTAGTGAGCCTGATCGTCGGCTTCCGCCGACCGACGGCTATGGTTGCCGAGTTTGGAAGTGGGGAAAAGGCAGCAGGAAGTGGACCATCTGCCACGAAGCGTCGGTGATGGCGTTAAAGGGTAACAGCGGTTCCGAAGTTAAGGATCTGGAAATTTTCGGATGGTGTTCCAACCCACTTGCTTCGCAACACCAATTCCTAGATATGAAAAACTACTAGGAATGTGTAACGGAAGCTTTTATGATTTTATTCAGAATAGAAAATCAACCTAGTTATTATTATTATCTCTTTAAAAGAACAAGTTACAACTTTACTGTTTCTTAGAGTCACATCAAAACACTGTCACTTGGTTTGCTTTTTACTTTTACTGAGTTCTTGTTTGTAATCATTGCTTTCCTCTCTCTTTTCTCTCTGCTGTTACGTGTTTTGCTTTTTCTGACAAATGGAGACTTTTTATTACTTATCCATTCTTTCTTCCTCATGTCTAATCCCCAATTCCTCTCTCCATCTTTCTGGATCTGCTTTCTCTCTCCTTCTCTCTTTTCCATTCCACCTCTCTCTCCTACGTTTATTCCCATCCACATATTCATCTTTTTCCTGTATCCACCAACCACTCCATCTCCATCTCTCCATTTTCCTCATTGGAGAAAGACAAGCAGGAAGAAGAAGAAGAAGAAGTAGAACAATGAGGAGATGAATTAAACCACTCACCTTGATCATGCTCTCCCGTCCCCTCCAAAACCAGCTCCGCCTCCATCTCTTTCTCTCTCCGTAATCTCTTAGTCCCAGATCTCTGAACTCGGCCATGAACCGACGAGATTGCCAAAGAACGTGGGTTGTTGGACGATTGATTGCCTAGCTTGTGAGTCTTCCTCTGTTTTTGAGTTTTCCTAACGATCTTTATTCCACTCTCTCTTACTGATTTTCTTGGAAACCACGGCTAGAAGAAAAGACGCGAACGACCGCGCCGGCGATGGGAAGACCTGAAATGGACTCCGGTGATGGTCCCTACGACGACGACTTAGGTCAGGGGTGTTTTCCTTTTCGCATATTGCATTTTTTTTATTTTTTGCTTTGTTAGTTTCTGCTCATCTGATCAGACTTTTCCTTTTGGGATTTCAAGTTCAAACGAGAGGCAAGATAAGGGAGGGATTATTGTCGGTGTATATTTCCAAATCCAGAAGAGGCTACTAGAGCTGGCCACTACTCTCTAGGTAAGCTTTTTCTTTTTGGATTTTGATTTAGTTTACATGTTGGTTCTTGCCTTTCTTTGATGATATTGTTTTTTTAATTGATTTCAGCAATGGGAAGAGGAAGAAGAAGTCATCGACAATCCTGGAGTGGTCGTTGCCGGTCACCAAAATATAGCGATGTAGCTTGCTAGCAGAGGTACAAAGTGTGTCTAGGTGCCCTTTACATGTTTCTGTGTATTTGATAATTCATTTTCCACTAAATAAATTCAGATTTAGGCTTCTTTTGCTTTTAGCAGAGATTATGGTGGGTTTCTGTATAGAAATTGGGGTTTCTAATGAGATGTATGTTGTTTGAACCCTTTCAACATGACTATGGTTATCAATAACAAGTGTTTGTGCTTGCACAAGTGCAAGTTCAGTAACATGGTTGGATTTTTTATTTGCTTGATCCCATTCTTAGATTTTTGTTTAAACATTTTCAACATCTTCATTCTATAGTTATGTCTAAAATGGTGGAGTCTCATACATCAGCATGCATCTCTTTTTCCTTCGCATTTTTATTCAGACTTGCTCTTTGTAGTTCAGTTCCCCTGAATATCTTCTATTGCATTCATTGTGTTACCCAATGACTTCAGGAACAGGCTACAAACCTGTATGTAAGCTATGCTGGATGAGGGAAAAGGTTAAAAATATGCAGCGCCAGATGGGAGTAGCAGTTTTAAGATGGAGTTGGCCTTGATCATCGTGTTTCATGATGCGCAGTTAGTTCAGTTCTATTTTTCAGTAAAAGTTTGCTATATTGGCTCTCTCAACCATACTAACACTTTAATATCATTGTATGATCGTATCATAGGAGAGTTTTGCTTCTAATTGGTGGCTCACTTAGTCTAACTCCAGCTTCTTGCTTTAGATAGAGAGAGGTATGGATGTTGGAATCATGTATATTTGTCTGTTTTACATGTTTGTTGATTGTATTTTCATGGTCTAACTACCTTTTTTACGTGGCTGTTGTTCTTGGTAGCAGCATATGGAGAGATTGGAAAAATGATCTTTTGGAGGGGGGATGATCATTCTAGGACTGACTTGGAACCATACAAAAAAGTCTATGAGAAATGGTAGTTCAGCACCTTGATGCAGTCCAAAATGTGTCAAAGTAGCCTTACGACTTGCGGAAAATGATTTGGGGTAAGAATGGCGCTTTCAAAACCTTTTTCAAGTCAGCAAACTAAACCATCTGCACATTTTGTGTGCACCACATCAATGCCTTCCTTTCTAATGAATTTTTTTATTGGCCCAAAAACTTTGCCTATATTCGTTTTATATGTTGTACCGATTAAGTTCTCTTATGTGGCTCCATTTCAACGCAGCAAAAAATAAAAGTACCTGTCGTTTTCATTTACTTGCACCTGCATATTAGCCCATGATTCACCGTACGTAGGACCATGTAAATCGTCTCTGCCACCGACATGCAAAGAACTCTTACATTATTCAATTGCATGGTTTTTACTCTATTGGTCAGTTTTATTTGAAACTGGTAAAAGCTCATGTTCATTGCTCTGGTCACCATGTAGGTTTGCCATTTAGTATTTTGTATTATTCTCCTTCATGTTTATTTCTATTCATAGTTATTTTACACGAGGAACCTATTCAAATGCTTTCTTCCTTGTGAGTCACAACTAATTTTTATATATCTGTGTTTAGGTCCCAGTAACAAGCAATAGATTTGAATACACAACTTGCAATGATAGTAATTAACAGAGACCTTCTACAAAAGAGAGTGAAACCAATTTAGCTGAATCTAATGTGAGTATTGATGACACTACACATAGGAAGTCGTCTGTCTGAATGTAATGATTAGATTTATTAGCTTCAAGATATTTCTTACACCTAAATTTAACAGTTAGATTTAATAAATTATGTTGTTTATTAGTAGAACTAATTCCTGTATAAAAAGAGTACGGTTAATGCTGGTTCCTAAGTTAAAAGGTGGCTTCTCCCTCAGCTTGCTTTGAACATGAGTCTGCAGCATTCTGTTGTTATTTAATCTTTATCGCCCTCATTTCATTGATGAATGAATTATGATCCGTTCTTCTGAGACTTGGGTTCTGTTGATAAGTTTGAGTGAACCCGACGGCGGTGTTGTGCTTCAATAGGTATGGTTTTCTTTGTGGAAATTCATATTTCTTGACTCTCTCTTAACAAATTCTCACCCAAAAATACAAGAACACAAACCCTAGATTGATCTGATCTCACCGTTTTCATAGGCAAAGACAATGAAGAACAAAAAGCAGAAGGAAAGGAAGCAGAAGATTAAGAAGAAGAAGAAGAAGAAGAAGAAGAAGAGAAAGAAGAAAAGACAAGGTGGAAATGAAGAGATAAAAGGCATAACGACTGTAAAGGCAAACGGACCTCCCTGATGAACATACGGTCGGTTTCTGGCCATTCTATTCTTTAATTTTTATGTTCCATCTGCCTTTTGGTTTTTTATTTCGAATCATAGAATTGCTTCTCTTTGTCTGCCCCTGTGTGTCTATTTCTTCCATCTAGCAGTTTATATGAATCGTAGTCTGAGTTTTACTTCGATCTCTGCCATTACAGCGACAAAATCTCCTTCCCGTATCGATATTGGTTCCAAAATGTATACAACCTGCTTTTTATTGGGGATTTTGGTGGGCCAGGCGTGTTTTCATTTTTCAACATGAGAAGTGGTTAGTTGAATTTACTATAGCTTTTGCCTTCTCTATTACTCTCGGCTTCTTCGTTTTCCTACTTACTCTTCTCTATAATGGGTGCCCATTGGCGTATCTTCTTCATATGCATTATGCTGCAATTCATGTTTTCTCTCAAACTTTGCCGTAATTGATAGTACAACCCTTTACCCTAAATTTATGAGGATTTTATGGTTGCTGTGTCCTGTAACTTCCAATGTTGTCGTAGCACTATGAATTGCATACTTATAGTTCATTCCTTAGGTTAGTTGGCTTAGTTAGTGATCAAACCAAGGAAAATATATGTTCTCCCACCTACAACTCTCTCTCTCTCTCTAACTTTACGGTTCATCTTGATTGGTTTATTGTAATCGGTAAGTAGTTTAGCTGAATTCAAAATGTGAGTTTTTCCTGATTGTTTGATTTTGTGGCAGAGTAGAGGGCGAAGAACGTGGTGGATGTAGGCTACTTAGCCAGGAATATGGATACAAGTGACAGGGGAGCACTGTCAAAGAGTCGATGCTCTTGGAGGTGCTCAAGATATAGCTGACCAGGTCAACTTCTTCTACCATTCTTCCAAGTTGGAATGCTTTGGATCAGCCATTCACAGATGGGGATTTTGATCTGGTTTGGTCCATGGAGAGTGGAGATCATATGTCTGATACAGCCAAGGTCTTTGTTTCCTTTTCGACACTTAATGATGCATTCTTAGGGTCAACCAGTTCATGATTTCAGTTGGGAAAATCTCGACATTTATATGGGAACTGGAATTTGTTTTCGCAGTTTGGGTGAGTTGCCTGAAGTTGCACCACCAGGGTCCACCATAATAATTGTGACATGGTGCATCAGAGATCTTGGATCTCCTCATGAATGCTTGACCAGGTGGGAGAAAAATCACCTTGCTAGAATCTGCTAGGCAAGCTATCTTCGTGAATGGTGCTCCACTTCTAATTATGTCAAACTACTCCAATCCCTCAATCCCCAGGTGTGTATATACATATGATTTCACCTAATGCAACCACCAACCGAGTCGCCTTTTTTTTGCTGTTGAACCAACTCGCTTTGTTTTCCTGCAGGATATAAGAACAACAGATTGATATGAGAATGTTACCCCATTTTAACCAGCATTTGTACGGTCCGCCCTCACATGTAAGGCCTTCACTTCCCTCCTCCGAATCGTTATTCCTTGATTTTCCTTTTGCTATTGATTTGATTCACCTCAAATAAATGTAAGTCTATCTAAAGAAGTCTGTCATTCGTGGTAATCGAACTCAAGCTTACCTGGAATTTGATTATGGTGGAACAAGCATGAAATCTATCGGATGAGCATTGGTGATATCATTGATGTTAGAAGGATTCAAAAGGGATTAAAAAAGGATCTCATCAAGTTCTCTGTTATAACGTTAACAAAATCCTGAATTGACTTTCTTGCCGATTATATTTTTTGCTGCAGAAGGTGTCCAAAAATTGTAAACTTTTGCTTAGGTAAATATGGAACTTTTTACTTTATAGTACTGGAAACGAAAAGTAGTTACTGGGAAAAACAATCAAACCGATTGATCGAACAAACTTCAGTACTTCAATGAATCAAATTGATGATGATATCAACATGGTCAGTTCTGGAATTATTTCTATTCTAACCTGCATGTAATGAACACAGAGACTGGAAATTGTATTTTCAAAATTTATCCTCTGGCCTATATGTTCCAGATATTGGTTTTAAGGTTGTATTTTGTTCCTTTGTGCTAGCTGCATCATGTGGTTTGCAGATTTATCTTTCATATTTCACGAATGGTGTTTCCTTTGTTCTTTCCTGTTTCATTGTCCTAATTTCGATGATATAATTGTTCTTTATATCTTACTACTGTCTCACTACTACCTACCTATCATTGCGTGGGCTTTTTCGTTACTGCCCTTTCGTAGCTATCATATCATCCACTTTGTTCAGGCTACAGCTTACGACTTCGAGTCAGGTCCATCTGTACAGGACTCTGCAGTATGTTACCATTGGTTTATAGCCTTTCAGATTCTGTTAAAGCCTGTTATATAAAGTTCTGCAGCGTCTGATATGATGGTAGCATGGGTTTCTAGCCTTTTAGATTGTAGTGGGATGGAGATACTTAACTTTTTCATTGCATTTCTCCAGGAACTATGCTTCATCAAACCTGCAGTAAATTGTAGTGGGATGGAGGTACTTTAACTTCCAATCTTGCTGCTCTTGCTTCAGTATTTTTGCCCGCAAGAAAGAGGAAGTTGCTATACTGGTCATAATATAATTTATTTGCCAACAACACCAACATGATCGTTCTCAATGCCTTGAGGAACTCCGAAGGTTTGAATCGTTCCCTTTAATCTGCCATTTAAGCCCATGATTGACTTGTGCGAAGTGTTAAATCTTCAGTGACGAGACATTTTTCAAGCCTATTTCTATCGGTTAAGAGCTACAGTTTTCAGTTGCTAAATGTTTGTCGCATAATGGATATTTGCATGTAGTTTACTCTGCTGTGTTCGGGGAGACTATTTTGCATAATGGATAGTTGCTAGATGTTTGCGGCCGAAAGGTGAATCTCAAGTCTCTCTCTCCTTTATCGACTGTGATCTTGCAGGTTTCGTGTGTTTTTCAACAACCTTCTCTGTGTTTGGATTTTAGGTTTGTTATCAGGGATTCAGAACCGTGGTTGGGCGAAGAGGTGAGGAGAGGCAACTTTCATAGGAGGATTCCGCAAGAGAGGGGAAGTAGAGAAGGGTGAGATCCCTATATTTTGTTCGTTCTTCTTTTCTCTAAACTCTCCCCTCCAGGTTCGCTCTTATTTAATTCTACTCTCTTCTCGACTTTTCACTTTCCCTCTTTGGTTTTTTCCTTTTCTGGTTGAGAGAAAACTCGCGTCAGTCTTGAGGGGGGAGGATTCTCGGAGTGATCAAAGTTGGTAAGCGTCTCTTCAGCTCTTTCCACTCTTTTTCTCAGCTCTTTCCACTCTGTTCGTTCTTCTATAAATTGGCTAATTTGGGAGGGCGAGAGAAATCGGAGGATACACAGAACCGCAAGGTGGGTTTCTTATGTTTTTTTTTCTAGACAAATTCGTTCTCCATCACTCTCAACCTATGCATTATTAGAAGATACCGGCACCGAGTTCATAAGCCCCGGAGGTGGTCATCAATTCCAGCGAAACGCTACCAATCTGAAGATCTGTGGTTTGGGTTATAAATCCATGTTGAAGAGGATCCATTGTGGAGAACGAGATTGGCGACGGAAGGAAACCAGATTTGCTTGTCCTGACATTTGAAGGTGATAAGTCGATATTGATGGTTTTGGTTCATCTCTCACATTTGTTATGATTAGATGCATATTCTTAATTATGTTCTCTGGTTTCTGTTGCCCAAACGGTTCCGCACGAAGAAGCCTCGGTTGTGAGGATCCCTCTCCGACGAAGCAAAATCCGAAGATGGTGTGTGGCCGATTCTCAAGCCAGAGCATGCTGATTCTCTTGCCCTTTGAGTTGATGGGCTTTTCTGAGAGCTGAGTTGATCGTGGAATCTCAGCGAAATGTTGCTGGACCAATAGATGAATGCTTTGCGAAACCTTCCTCCCGTCGTCGTGAACTCAGGTCTCTCTCTCCCCCACCCTCCTTCTCCTTCCCCTGCCATTTTTTTCCTTTTTCCCTACGGTTACTGAATGGCAATTCCTTGGCTTTTTCCTCCCATCCCCCAATCATATATGAGTTGGGTTTCAGGTTTTGATTGATTGTCGGGTTTGAGAGATTGACGGTCGGGTTGGGGAAGAAGCAGGTTCGATGTTTTGGATTTTCATTTTTAGGTTATTGTTTTCCCGATTTTCCTTGAATGTGATCATGCCCTCTTTTCCTATTTCAGAAGAGCACGTCTGGTCTTGGAGATTTTATAATCGAATTCGCTGATGGGGATTTGGGGAGGTAAGACACTGTCCGCAACATCGTCGTAATCCTATCCTCTTGAGACAGTGCCTAGGCATAGGCGAAGGTAATTTTATATGTCTTTTCCTTATCTTTTTTTCCCCTTCTCCCCCTGGTAATCTGTCCTGTTTTATCTTTCTGATTCATCGCTTTTGTTTGCTATTTCGGATAGCGATTCGGTGTTTTAGAGTTGACAATCGATCTGAACTTTAGAGTCGTCAGAGCGGGCAAGCGAACCAGAAACATCATTTGAAGTTTTTCCCTCCGTTTCACTTTGATCTAATTAGTTTTGTTGTTGTCAAAGATTCATTCGGTGGAGGAACTTCTATTTTAGGACTCTATTTCTCAACCTTCCAGATTTACTGTGAGAAGTTTTGTTATTTTGGGTTCTATATCTGCATTGACGTCCATGATCGACCCATTTAAGCTTTCTTTTTCCCTTTCGTTTGATTTCCGAGTGTGGAGAACTCGGTAGAGGTCCTTCACAGATGGCAGGTTGATTAATAATAGTGTGGAAACATAATTAGGGGACTTCCCCTATTCTAACTGTCCTTTGAGTCTAACTCCATAAAAAATGTATGTCAGTTCCCTCACGTGTGACCTCTTCATGGGATTTCAAGGTCTGTGTTCTTTTTCTTATTGAGTATTGAAATCAAAATGGTAGTTTTGGTTATCTATTAAATGTATGTGGTGCATAGATGTGCAGGTAATGCTTGCCTTTGGATTAACCAAAAACTGGAGTACCTGTACTATAACTTCTGGAGAGGACAGTTGATTGGGAGCAGCAACTCAAGAAAGCATATATGTGCTTTTGAAGTAGGTCCAGGTTAGCCACTGTTCTCTGTGAATTTTGCAGTTTTTGCTATGACAGAAGTAATCTTTATTTTGCTCTACCTTAGATCCTACTATTTTCATGAATCTGAGTATTTTTACGATTTATGAATGTTGATGTGCAATAATATGTTGCTTGCTTTCTAAGTGTTCTTGAGAAGGTAGGACTGAACAAAATTGAACCATCACACATAATGTCGTGATCTCCATTTTGTGTGCAGTTGCCTTTACATTGCAGATTTGTCCCCTTTGTTGGTAATTATGTCCCTTTAGGGGTTGTTCCCCCCTTATATGACTACACTAACTAGACTACTCTACTTGACAGCAGTATCACTTATTCTTCTTCATTTAACATCACATTCCTCATATCTCAATGAAGTGGAGACTATTGGAGCTACCTACTGAATGTAAGTACTGATACAAGTGTTGCCAGTAATGCAGTATCTACATGTTAAATTAGCATTCGGTTTTGGTTGTGTTGCCCTTTTCTTTGTGTGGTTTCTTTTTGCCACTAAGACCAATAATGAAAAAAGTAATTGGCAAAAGGCATTTCAAGATATGACAAGGAATGAACATGGTGTATCAGCAATCAGCATGCTGCCATTTTGTTGTGTGTTGAATTTGTAACCTTAGAGAGATGGTGATAAAAATCAGCTTATCAGGATGCCATGGCTAGACTTGGCACTATTCTCATTAACTCTAAGTTTACACGTTCATAATAATTGCTCTTTCCCATTAAAAATCTTTTATATGTTCTTTCTTTGTTTTATTTGCTCGACCCATACAGTGCACTGCCATTTTCATTCTGTTTGAGGTTCGGTGAGGTTGATTATGCTTTCTTAAGCTGCTCAGTGAACACTGATGAACTCCAGGTTTACATCTATTCGTGGCTCTTTATATCTAAAACTCTTTGCTTGCTTACAATGTCAGGTCAGAGCTTTATTACAAATCAGATTGCTTGCTTTTATGCCTGGGTTAGCAGGTATGCATTTGAGGACTTATAGGCTGAACTGTAAGCATCTTATTCTGCAACATTTAAATTGGTGAGATTTCTAGGCTGAAATGGACTCAATTTCTTAGCATTCTGTAATTGAATAGAAATAGAAGTTTTATTGGTATTATGGAATCACAGAGGAGGATTAAAATAAAGTTCATTAAACTAAAGCAGCCGTCTTTCATGTCAATTTCTCCTCAATCCACAGTTTCTTTCAATCGATGAACATATGTTGCCATGGGATGAAGAAACCTAACTTCCTGTGTCGTGTAGTTCATAAATTCTTCTTTAACCTTTAATCAATTTCTTTTTGATTAGTAAGATGTTGCCTTATATATAAACACAGGTTCATGATAGTTACTCCAACTGATTCTGTAAGTTGAATTGCTATAGTGTTTCAATAGGTTGTTTTTGCGCCCAGCTGTTGGCTCCATGGTGTAAGGAATATGAATTGTGTGTTTGTATTGACGTGACCGAGCTGTTGTCGGACATGTTGGACAGCAGGCGACTCGACGCTGATCGTGGGCGCTGAAATTCTAGATTGCAACGAAGAGCTAGGGTTTCGGGATTAAAGCTGTAAGAATGTGAATCGTGTGTTTGTATTGACATTGAGAAGGGGCATTTATACCCACAATTGTACAGGTTCATGTAGGAGAAGGAAACTTACGTCAATATGAATAAAGATTTATCCCTAATACATGGAACTTACCCTCTACTATCCATTTATGTCTATGGATGCCATACATATGATTTTTGATAGGTTCATTTGACTGCTTTTTTGGGATGGATTTCTAACTAAATTCTGTAATTGCTTTCTAGGTAGTTTAATTATCATCAGCTGAAGTTCAATCTATGCCTGATCCCCGCTCATCCATTTTCACTTCCTTTTTAGAATTCTTGGCTTCTATATATTGTTGTATCCAGTGTTGTTCGAGCCGTGTAAAAGGTGATTGTCAAGGGAGTTGTTGACGATAGCTATCTTAATTGAATATCAATATATTATGTCAATTAGGATGTTTTTCGCATCATTCTAACTCATAAATCCCGAGATACTGTCCACTAGCCGAAATTGTAGTCGGCCAAATAATAAGGTGTTTACTTCAGGTGCTGCAATTCAGTCCAAACAATGGGTTACGATTTGGTTGGGTAAGAGCCTCTAATGTTTCTTTTATCATCTTCAATCCATTTTGCAGCCTGTTCTTTTTTTTCTTTTCTTCCTATCATTGTTTCACATTGTTCGTTCATCGCGAAGCAACGCGAGCGGGTCTACCTAGTTTCTCAATTGTAGAACAAAGTTATCTTTGCACTTGTGAACGTAATCCGCTTAGTTTCTCAATAAGAATTGCCGTTGCTTTACAGAATCTGTGTATTCAAATCAAAAGTAGGTCAAAAAAGAAAATCCGTGTATTCATGAATACAAGCCTATGCCTTCCTCCCTTCCTAATTTCCTAAACCCAAGAAACCGAGCTACAAGAATTTCTTGGTGCGAGATTCCCTGATCAAATCCTCCGACATTCTCATCTCCAAATCTCTCTTCACTCTCAACAGCGCCGCTTCTGACTCTTTCAGCTCCTCCAATTCCATCGACTCCTCCGCGCAGGAAACCCCACTTCCGTCCTCGTCGCCGTCTCTTCTCTCCGCCGCCACAATCGACAGCCTACTTCTCTCCGGCCGCTTTCTCGCCGGCGCCTCCGCACCGGCCATATAGTCCAGGAACCGCTGGAGGACGGGATCCACGGACGGGGACCCATGCGCGTGGGCCTTGTTGGCCGCCGGCGAGAAGGTCACAATCGCCGCCTCCGTCCCCCGTGGGCTCATCTTGCAGAACTTGTCCAGCTTCCCGAACAACCCCGTCCTTCGCTTGGAGAACGCCACGAACAGGCTGGACTGCTGTTCGATTCGCTTGATCTCGATCTTCCGACGCTTCCCGCCGGTGGTAGCGGTGGGGACGGCGGGTGTGTCGTCGGTGTGTTGGCCGGCGATCATGGCGACGACGGTGGCGGAAGCTTTGATTTCTAGGGTTTGCGAAGAGGCCAAAGCAAAGGCAGAACTGTAATTTGGCAACACGCGGAAATCTGCTGGTCGTTTGTAGAGGATGGAAGATTCGATTTAGTTCGTCTATATTTATAGACGAAGGAATTGGGAAAGCCTAGTACGGGTATTTCCTTGGTAATCAAGTTTTCCTTTTCCTCTTCGGAATCCGTTTCCTTCTACGAATTGGAAAGCGGAAAAAATAAGTAATAAAATAAAAATAGGAAGCCAAAAAGGTTAATTCAGTCCCTGAACTTATCCTTTGTATCTCTCAAGTACCTAAACTTCATCAGCTACCTATTACCGCACATATCACGCATTATCCCAAATCCGGACTAACAAAACAAAATAGAATGCAGGATGCTTGCTTAATCCAAACAGACAATAAATGAGAAACAAAAGATGGATGATCAACTGGTAAGTTTTTTATACCAGAAAGAGAGTGAAGGGTTTGAGTTTCAGACTTGAGATTCTTGAACCAGAAAGCATACATCAAAGGAAATGGAGGGGAATGTCGGTCGAAAAAAAGCACTCACGGGACAAAGAAGAGACTAGAGAGGTAGTTATCTGGGCATGTGAATAACACAGCGAAGGCACTTCCCTTCTCTCATGAGGCTAAAGGCTGTGTTGATATCCTCGAATGGAAGGTCATGTGTAATGAACTTGTCAACCTCGATTTCCTGAAACTCCGAAATACAGAATCTGTCATTCCAGAATCACGAGAAAGTACACATGGAGTAAAGTGGTAATGCTAGGTAAGATGCTTGTACTTGCCTTGTTCATGTACATGTCGACTAAAGAAGGGAGATCAGATTTAGGTTTCCACCCTCCAAATATGGTTCCCTTGAGTGTTCTTCCCGTAAGCAACAAGCCATAATGGGCAGACATCTCGGGCTTCACTTTTGGTACACCTAGAGTGACTGTCAACCCCCATCCCTGATGCCATATGAAACAAACAAGACAAATGAACTTCGATGTCAAATTCAAAATCCCATGAAGGATCACTATATGTGGAAATGGAGAAGTACGAGGCTTGAACGTGGAAGGGTGGATTACATCACAGCATGATTGTAAAGCAGTAGTTATCATCCCAGTGTCGCCTATGCATTCAAATGAGTAATCTGCTCCTCCATCGGTGATTCGCTTTATAACCTGGGAAAGAAAGTTCAATAATATGACATCGAATACTGGAACACAAAGATTGTTGTCACTTGCTAAGGGAGGATATTGAACTTTGCTGGTTGAAAAATGAAGGCTCATTACAGAAGGTAAACTATGAAACCAAATGCCAATCTTGTATCAGATGCTTCTCAATAACTTCAGTACCCTTGTTGGTTAACAAAAATGTTTAATACACAAGCAATACCTGTTGAATGGGTTCGCTGCTGTCACTTGGGTTGATGAACTCTGTAACTCCAAAAGCCTTTGCTGAAACCATAGAAAATAAACATGAGATGCAAGAACCGGCTAGGAATCCTGACAGCCTATTCATGATGATGATGATGATGATACCTTTCTCGCATTTGTCAGGGTTAGTGTCCACACCAATTATACGAGATGCGCCTTTGAGTCTAGCGCCTTGGGCAACCTAATCAGTTGTATTGGAAAAGAGAAAGTCAACGAAGAAACATACAATATGTAAGAATTACACACGTACTTGCAAATACTACAATAATAATACTGTTTCGCATGATATGAATGTCCAGACTTACTGAGAGGCCAACAGTTCCAAGACCGAAGATCACCACAGTTGATCCCTCAGATACAGCAGCAACATTCCAAGCTGCACCTAAGCCTAAAATATAAACCCCCAACTTGTTACCTCTGCTTAATATAAACAGAAACTCACTCTCTCATTCTTTTTGTGTACTGCTAGATACATCGTTTTCTTGACTCTAAACTAAGTTATAACTGCACATGAAGTCATTTTTGAAAAGTTAAAGGCTATAGGACCTTAGACTCTTCAGCCCTATCAGCTGTCTGATAGATGGTACAAGGGTGCACAAGGAATAGGAGCAAGGAAATATGATATACCTGCAGCAACTCCACAGCTAAGAAGGCAAATCTTCTCCAGAGGTGCATTTGGGCTAACTTTGACGGCACAACCAGAGTGGACCACCGTATACTCACTGAAACTCGAAACAGCGCAGTAATGGAATACGGGCTTCCCTTTGATTGAGAACCGAGTCTTCTGATCACTATGCATCACACCTCTTCTTTCCAACCCTAGCACCTGGCACACATTGCTTTTCCCAGATGTGCACTGCCTGCAAGTCCTACATTCTCCTGTGAACACAGTGAGCACATGATCCCCTTCTCTAAACTCGGTCACCCCTTCTCCTATGCTCTCAACAATCCTGCAGAAACGACTTCACGCTTTAACTACCCAGCCCCATTACTCGCCCAGAGGCATATCCAATTTCCATGAGAACTTGAAATGCATCTAAAGCTCTAATTGATCAGATAACAATGGAGAAGAATTGCAGAAGAGACCCTGATGCTTCGTGGCCAAATATCCTTGGAAATATTGCCTGCAGCAACAAGAAAGAAGCAGACAAAACAAAATTAGGCAATAGAAGAAAGATGATCCCTAATTGGCGGCGTTAGTTAAAATTGAATGAAGGTCAAGGAACTTGCCTGAGATTCCCAAGCGGAGATGTCGGAGCGGCAGAGAGATGAAGAGAAGACTTTGATCCGAATCTCGTGGGGATGCGGCGGACTCAATTCAACTTCCTCCATTACCAGCGGCTCTCCGGCGCCCCACGCCACCGCCGCTACATATTTTATATCACAGCATTTCACCATCGATCGAGCAATTCAATCAAAATGCAGGCAGCAGCTTACTGTATATTATCCACAACTCAAACGTGTTGTTTGGGTCTTTGGGATTAGGAGTAGAAATCGTACCTTTACAGGTGATGACCGCCGGAGATGAGGAGTCTTCAGCGGAAGATGACGGCGACATTTTTTACGGTTTGCCGGCGGAGTAGTAGCTGGTGTGGCGCAGCAGGAGATTGAATTTTGATTGGCTTATGAGGGAGGGAAAGGTTGGCCGGAAGACGGAGCAGCGGGTAGTAGGTGGGCAGCCTTGTCTGGTACCTACCAGTCTACCACCAGTCCGCCACAACCGCGCACCAATGAAATTCTAATTTAAAAAATTGAATTTCCTACCACGTCTTAGATTTTCATCCAAAAATTAGATTGCTGTACAGATTTGTATATTTGTCTGACCACGATTCCTATTTACTTGTCATAACTCATAAGTCTAAAACAGGAAAAAATCCCAGAATACACCAATTATTAAAAAAATTTACCAAAATACAGTACTTATAAAAGTAATTTCCAAAGTACAGCAGTTTCAACATCACTGTCTTTGTCTAAGACAGTGATGTTGATCACCGTTTTGGTCTAAAACGATGATACATCACCGCTTTAGACAAAAGCAGTGATGCTATCATCGCTTTAGACCAAAGCAGTGATGCCATCACCGCTGTCAAGGACGACAGTGATGGCATGACCGTTGATGAGGGAAGCAGTGAAGGCTTCACCGTTGGATCCAACAGCGGTGAAGTGGCGCGGATCGCTGACGTGGACGCGCGCGGGCACTTCACCGCTGAAGACCAAAGCGGTGATAGCCCCGCTTTCCACGTCAGCGATCCGCGCCCCACCCCGCGCCTTCACCGCTGCCGTCCGATGCAGTTATGCGCGGATTGTGGTTTTTCTCCACAATCCGACGCATCAGGAGCCGCCACGTCAGCGATCCGTGACCATCACCGCCTTTGTTGGACGCGGTGATGGCTCTGTGTTTGTTTGGGGCGGTGATAACTGGCCAAGTCTTTTCCCAGCCCCAAACACCTATAAATACCCATCCCCCCCTCATTCCAAACCACACCACCACTTTATACTTCTTTCTCCCTCCATTTTTCACTCTAGTTTCGTTCTAAGTATGCTCTGTGGTTGCGGCTAAGTCCGATCTTCCGCATCAGAAAGAATTACTAGAGTTTTTGTTTTGTTGTTTTGTCGATACTCTCGCTAGCTTTTCGGCAAAAAATGGACGAAGAGGCTTTGAGAGTACGTAGATTTATTTAATTCTTTTGTGATTTTTTTACATGGGTGCTAAAATTTAAATTGATTTGATTTCATATTTTTTTATAGATGGGTGCTGAGATATACGACCCTAGATTGTATATCGATCCTGGCCCAAGGGATCGAAGGTATTTAACCGGGCAAGATCAACATCGCTCTCGTTCAATTTGGAACAATAATCCGGTAGACACACTAAAATTATTTCAATAGTTTTAAAGTTTTTATTTTGCTTTCTAAGTTTTTATTTTGCTTTCTATTGACTGACAATATTGTGTTTTTTGTTTTGTAGGAATCACTTATTCCCATCAGTCATCGAGGTACATGTCGATTGCCCCGTTGGCATCCTCGACTGCATCCCTATCTAGAGAGGGCGGGATTGCACAATTTGAGGCACTTTATGAGGCTTGATATTGACAACGATCTGCTGACGGCAATGGCAGAGCGATGGCGCCCTGAGCTGCATACCTTCCACTTTCCCGAGGGTGAAATGACGATCGCCCTCAAAGATGTTGCCATCCTCACCGGGCTCCCGATCACCGGAGATGCCATCATCGACAGCTCGAGAAAACCAGAAGATGGTTGGGGGCCATTGATTCAGGAACGTCTGGGGTTCAACATGCCGACCACCACGCCCGTCGAAGGGGTTGGGCATCCACCACTGAATGCGGGGCAAGTATCGATCCCGTGGCTTGTTGACCACATCCAATTGGAGGTTAATATAGGCCCGGATACTCCTGAAGATCAGGTGGAGCGGTATGCACGTGTATACCTAATTGCCTTGGTTGGTGGGTTTCTGTTCCCCGACAAGTCAAATAAGTGGATACAAGGCATGTGGTTCCCTATGCTCCTCGGTGACTGGGACGAGATCGGGAGAAAAAGTTGGGGGTCGGCCGTCTTGGCTGGAATCTACCGAGAGTTGTGCACTTGCTCGAGGTTGGGAGCGAAACAAGCTGGTGGTGCGATGTTCATACTTCAGCTCTGGGCATGGGAGCATCTTCCGTTTCTCGCACCTCAAGACCCTCGGGAATTCTGGTTGCCAGATGATGAGCTACGACTTGTAGCAAATCCCCCATATGGTTTCAAGTAAGTTCAATTTAAGTTGAATTTATTTTAGATATGCAATGGTAGCTAGTTAGGTGAATTTAGATTTTAGTGAACTTAGTGAACTTAGTATGCAATTTTAAGTATGCAATTATAGTATTTTAGTGAACTTAGCTATCTTCCAACTAAGCGAATTTAGAGACATTTTAGGTCTGCAATTCTAGTATTTTAGTGAATTTAGATATCTTCCAAGTAAGTGAATTTGGATTTATTCTAACCAAATCGTATTTAGCTAATTTAAAAATTGCTTATATATGTACTTTTGCTTAATTAGGTGGATCGGAGCAAATACAAACGACCACCAGGCCGAGCACTCTTTACTGTTTTATCGTGCTGAATTTGATAAGCCTTGGTGGAACCAGGTAAAAATATTGAATGTCATGATTTTCAATTTATTAGGTGGAGTGGATATAATTTTTACTAATTACATGAATTATAATGATTGTAGGCGGTATGGGATCCATATCCAAATGAAGTGGTTGAGTTGCATCGTCTTAGACATCCCGAGGATCAAGAGACATGGTTGTGCAAGGTGCCCTTAATCTGCTGGCACATGGTGGAGTGGCACCTGCCCGATCGATCTTTGAGGCAATATCGATTGGAGCAACCAATTCCAGCATCCCCACCTCAAGGGTTCAGGGAGCTCCACGCCATTGACCTACGCTACAACAAAAAGGATTGGACCCGCAAGCATGAATTCTACATCAACATATGGGAGAATAGAAATCAGTGGGTGGTCCAAGGGGCGCCGGAGACAAGGCCAATGGGGTACCACGATGGATACATACGGTGGTATCGGAACTTCACGCTAAGATGGGTGTCAAAGCAAGGTGCTGTTTGGGGCGCAGTGGTAAGTGAATTCCATTTTAGCCTATTTTAGTTAATTTTTGTAGTATAATTACATGCCTATATTTGCTAGAATGTTAATTAACATTATTAGATTTAATGAATGTTAATTTTTGGAGTATGATTACATGCCTATATTAGCTAGAATGTTAATTATCTATATTAGATTTAATGTTAGTTAATTTTTGGAGTATGATTACATGCCTATATTAGCTAGAATGTTAATTAACATTATTAGATTTAATGTTAGTTAGTAAATGTAGTATGATTACATGCCTATATTAGATGATAGAAATCATTATTAGATTTACTATTAGTTAATTTTGTACAACAATTTATTAGGTTGACGGTTTGGAGCATGCGAAGCACACCGTCGAGAGTGCACCCACCATGGATGAGCGGAAGACATCTTTTTTGCGCAGGCTTTTCAACAACTTGCTCTGTTGTACCAGAGAGCAAAGGAGGGATGTCATATTATACCCTCCAGTGCCTGCTCCGGCCCGACCTTCATTCCGTGCTGATGAGAGGATTGTGCCCCCACAAGAGCCCCCACGGAGGAGCATAAGAAGGGTGAGAGAACACATTGAAGAGCTTCGTCCGTCTCAGCAAACTCAACTTCCTCAACCATGGCCACATTGCGAGTGGGCTACTAGTACTGAGGGAACCGGAGGGTCGTCAAGCTATGCCCCGACTCAGGAGCATGACATGTTCACCCAAGCCACCCCTCAGTTCCACCATCAGCAACAAACTACTCAGTATCAGACCCCGCAACAACAACATACATCATCGACTTTCTACCACACTTCTGGTCCACCTCAGCAACCTCCACCACCTGTCTACACTCCGGTGGGTGGTCGGGTTAAGAGGAATCCGCGCGCAGTTGTCCAGCGGGCTCGTGAAGAAGGAGGAGGAGGTAGAGAGGGCGGAAGAAGGGGCCGAGGAGGTCGTGGAGGAAGAGGAAGAGGAAGAGAAGGGGAAGTGGAGGGAAATGAAGACAACCAGTGAACTTTCTATGTCGTTCTAATTTAGTTTCATCTTTTTTTGTTTTCCATGAACTATCCATGTCGTCTAAATTTGGTTTGGGTCTTGTGTTGTTTTCCATGAACTATCCATGTCGTCTAAATTTGGTTTGGGTCTTGTGTTGTTTTCCATGAACTATCTATGTTTTTAAATTTGGTTTCGGATTGTGTTGTTTTCCATTAACTATCTATGTCGGCTAAATTTGGTTGGTTTTTACCCCCATTTTGTACCAAAATGAACAACAAACGGCCTTTATTACAATCACTCAACAAGATTACGGATTGACGTGTAGAGTTACGGATTGACGATTATGCCCACGTCTTCCTCCACCCCAGATACCTGTTTGCACAGCAAAAATACCTTCATTGCGGTTGAACAAAACAACTCTGTGCTTACTTGATTTCTCTTCGATCTTCTGCATGCCATCAAATATATGCTTAGCTATTGAATGACCAGCACGCTCCCTCCCTATAGCAGCATCCCGTCTCTTCACAAACCACTCGTTTACCTTCCAGTATGTCATCTCCACTAGGACAGATACAGGCATTGCCCTAATGCCCTTGTAGACTCCATTTATGCTCTCCCCATGGTTGGTAGTTGCAATTCCGAAGCTAGCCCCGTTGTCCATGTGAAATGTCCACATGTGCAGATCTTGACCTTCTGCCCATACTGCTCCCGCCCGGTGTATTTGACGGATCGTCTTCATCTTCTGCTCGTACTTTTTTGGTTGATGTGCAACCGCTACAAGACCGGAGAATTAATAATTAATCCATAAGAAATGTCATTTGAACAATAAACCATGAACAAGCACTGAATTACATTATTACCTGCACTCCACAATTGATCTCTTATGTCTTTCTTCTTGCCAAATTTGTGTTGGAAATTAGCTAGGAAGTGACGAATACACCAACGCCATGTCCATCCCCATTCGTCCGGGAAACCACGGACGGCGTGTTTAATCCCGGCATGTTGATCCGATATAATTGTAATACCCATTCTTTGTGTGACGTGGGCGTGTAGCTGGTCAAAGAACCATGCCCAACTTAGGTTGTTCTCCCCTTCAACTAATGCAAATGCTAAGGGAAAAATACTTAAATTCCCATCAACCCCAGTGGCAATAAGAAGAGTTCCTTTATACTTCCCAGTAAGGAAAGTTCCATCAACCTGTTAAAATGAATAATGAGTTAGTAAAAATTGAAATTAGTAAAGTAATGAAATAGTACAATATTTTGAGTTCGTAATATACCTGAATCACTGGCATGCAGAAGGGAAACCCGTCAATGCATGGCTTGAATGTCCAGAACAGACGATGAAACATCAACTCGTTCTGTACTCGAACTTGATCTTCAGTTTCTACGTTGTTGTACCAAGGCACGAAAACCGTCCCAGGGTTGGACTCCTCCATTGCGGACATTAGTCTGGGGAGTAAAGCATACGAGTCATCCCAATCACCGTAGACATCAGCCATGGCCTTCTGCTTCCCATGCCACGCCTTCTTATACCTTATGGTGTAGGAGTGTCGATCCTTCACCTCCGCCATGATAGCTTTTATCTTGATATCTGGTTGTGCCTCGATAAGGTGCTTAATGGTTCTTGCCACTTTTTTTGCTTTCAGTTGCCGGTGATCCTGTGAAAGTATGGTTGAGGAGCAACTGTGGTTGTTCTCTACTGTCCGCATGACCCAGACCCCCTTTCTCTTCATATATGCAGCACGAAGTTGCCACATACAACCCTCTCCAGCATTCTTACAAATGACATGCAGTTGTCCCTTGTCAGAATATTTTACCTTCCATTCGAAATTACGCCGCATGGCTTCTTCGCTAAAAGCGTCTTGCACATCGGCTTTCGAAGTGAACGCCATACCCACTTCCAAATTAGCAGTCGGATTATACACAGGCATGGGCCGAAAGTCAGGGGCATCGTTCTGACCATATAAAAATTGATCAGGAACCTCTGTGTAGTAAGGCGTTGGTGCCTGTCGGAACGCCACCTCGCTGTCATCGATATCGTCGTTATCGTCCGTATCTTCCTCCTCACTGACTGATCTCAAATCTTCCTCACTTTCATCGTCACTGGAGGCGAATGGATAGCTCGGCGAAGGATGGTCATCGTTAGCAGCATAACCAGCATCGCCTTCTTGGTCATGCGAAGTACGCCCAGTTCGAAGGGTGTTTTCAATGTCACCCCACTCTGGACCCCAAGCAGGCCATTGATCACCGTCGGGCTGAACGATATCGACGGCAGTCTCACCACCATGTGGCAGGTATTCTTCCCACCCAACACCTCCTTCAGAACTACCTCCTCCGTAGTTGCTTGAAGTACCTCCCCAACCATACCCTCCGGCAGAAGAACCTGCTCCGTAGTTACTTGAACTACCACCCCAGCCATACCCTCCTGCAAAACCATCATCATAAGAATACTGGTGAGAATGAGTTTCACCGACCGGCTCGGTCTCGACATACACCTCTGCAAGCCGCACCCCGTTCTCAGATATGAACTGTGTCATCATGTTCGCGTCGTCATCATCATTTATGTCAACTTTTTCGTACATGACTCCGTCAGCACTCATGTTGGGATACCGGTAAGTAATTTGACGAACTCTCATTTGCCCGCCCGTACAAGTCCTTTCTGCACACCTGTCATGGAGTTCTTGCCACGAGAATCTCGACTCAATTGTAAGCATACTGGATTCGCCATCTTCATAGTCGATCCCAATGTTCGAGTTTGTCACCCGACCATTCCAATAAATAATAAGCCGAAACTTCTTAAATTTACCCATGTCTGCATTTTATAATAATTAAGTATAGTATATAATTAGTACATTATGGATACAAAAACAATATCATCCAAAGCGATAATAAAGTGCAACTAATTGATCTATTATGAGAAAACTATACAAATTCATCTAAATTCATAACTAGCTAACTAACATCTATCATATCATAATTAAACTAAATAATATCATAACATATTTTCCAATAACCGCAATTCAATAAATACAGACAGTATAATTACTAACACATCAACATGTAAAAAATACATACTTATAACATACTCAATCCCGATCTATCATGAGAAAACTAAACAAATTAATCTAAATTCAGTACTAACTAACTAACATATATCATATCATAATTAATCTAAATATATAATTCTAACATACCTAATTCTAGCACATAATCAAAATGTAAACAATACATAATTCTAACATACCGAATCCCGACGAGTTTCTTGAGCAGTAAACTACGGAGGAACCAGCTGCGAAAACAACTTAACAAAACGATAATTTTTGTACTAATTTGCTGTTTGGCAGCAGGAGGGAAGAGGGCGTGGGTTTTTATAGGAAAAATTTAGAGCCAATCACCGCTTTGGACCAAGGCGGTGAACACATCATCGCCTTAGTCAACAGCGGTGATAGCTAGGTAGCTGTTACCTACTTCTCCACCTACCAGGGCTATGTAAAACGTGGGGACAATCACTGTTGTGGACAGCAGCGGTGATGCCTTCACTGTTGATGTCAAAAGCGGGGATACGTTCCCCGCCTTTGTCAAAAGCGGGGATAATATCTCCGCCTTGGACAAAAGCGGGGAACGTATCACCGCTTTTGTCCACAGCGATGATGCATTCCCCGCTTTCGTCCAAGGCGGTGATGCGTTCCCCGCTGCTTCACTGTTTTGGACAAAAGCGGTGATCAACATCACTGTCTTTGTCTAAGACAGTGATGTTGAAACTGCTGTATTTTGGGAATTACTTTTATAAGTACTGTATTTAGGGAAAATTTTTTAATAACTCGCGTATTCTGGGATTTTTTCCTCTAAAACATGAGTTTAGAAGAAAAGAAATTCTTCTAGAGTTTTAAATGATAGAGAGTTCAAACATGATAATGAAGAATGATTCTAAAGATATATCTAATCAAGCAAGCATTACCTATTATTTCATTTTTCTGAATGGTGTGTCATCTTAATAATTTGAATCTAGAGGTTATTTGGTTTCTTCCATTAATATATGTATTTTATCATACAAGAATTCATAAATTTGGTGTCCTAAAAATTATATTTTAGTATCTATCTCCACATGATAATACCTAAGAACGGAGTTTGGACACACGTCAAATTGTCACTTCTCAGTCGAGACTTTTACATATAGTACAATGTCACTTGTGCTCCTTCTTTCCAATACAAATGATATTGTTTAACTAAAACTAGAACAACAACAACAACAAAAAAGAGAAAATAATTCAACTGAACACTGTGGACACTGTGAAATTGTAACGTGTGTTACAAAAATAAGGAAAATGTTGCATGTATGTGATGCAACAATCTCGGTAAAACAATTGGACAAACGAAGCGACCTCTAATTTTACTTTATTTGTAGTGATTTGTGTAACAATGAACACTAAAACCAGTTGCGCAGCTAGAAATTCAGTTATGGTTTTAATATAGCGTAATTATGATCCACGATATATTTTAATATTATAAAAAAAAGATCTAAAATACGTTAGTCATTGAAATTATCGAAAATGTCACTCTCAATATAATGTACCCTATCAAAAACATTGTTCGGGATTCCGTCACTAATGCAATACCAAAGTGTTTTTTCCGCATAGTTCATCGTATAAATTGCTCTTGAATATGAGCACTATCTTATCTTGCGTTTAAAACACTAGTAGTCTAGTACGCAAACTGAAGGATACAGAGACGCCAGTTTACAAGAGGTCTAAAACTACTCTAGTGTGCTTATAACTGCATGTAATGTAATTACCAGCAGCTTGGAACAAATCAATTTGACTCTGAATCCTTTGAATGACTTCAAGAGGTGATCAGCTCCCCTGTTCTGTTCTCCATGAATCCTCCTACAGCTCTCTATCTCGCCATAGCAGACTAATCGCAAGAATCCACATTAGAAGACCAAACTTTGATATTGCTTGCTTCCCTGCAAACAACTGAATAACCCAGTTACTTAATTTCAAGTATCCCTCAAAGTCAGGACTAAACGAAACCTGCTTATAATAATTGACTTATTGATTAAAAGAGTACATACATAGATGAAGCTCGTAAGATAACAATGAGCAGGAGCATGATAAATACTACTTTATCTAAGCACAATATATAAGATCCTGCTACTATATATATATGCTCATAAGACCAAACACGGCACAAGATGAACAACCAATCCAGCCGGCACCAGAAAGACTCAATAAGCATATGCCCCCGACCCCCTTCCCCTTGTTTGTGACTGTGAGTGAACCAATAGAATAGACAGAGAAAGGAAAGGCAGAAACAACAAGGTACAGACAAGTAAACACACACATTTGCCTTGTTTGCAGCATAAAACTAGAAACCACTCATCAATTAAAACAAGGACGAAGAATAAAATATATAAGTTTGCATGCTAAACCCTACCAAACAAGGACTGACTTTAGCCCCGCAACCAAGTCAAGCGACTGCCAGAATTGCATAAGCGGCCACCAAATCATCATTTACTAATGCCTTTGCTCGGCCAATCACCAAAAAAGATAACAAGAAAGAAGGACTTCTTTTATATCAAATGAACTTGACGACACATAACTCAACACACCTAATATTAATATATATCCCTAATCACGAGTAATGTGAAATCATGATTGAGTAAAACTTCTCTATTCAAAGTCCACGCACCACGCATGAAGACCAAGACCTAATCAGATGAGCTTGTTTTGACATCCTTCCTTGTATAAATTTGATGTTGTTGGTCTCAATTCTATGTCATTTGAATTACAAGGAATTAGTTTAGATGTATAATGAATTTATAAAAATATTCTTCGGTTGAATATATTTCTACGGGAAAATTGTAACAGAACAGTGAAAAATAATTATAGGACTCGTTTCAAATTTTAATACCTTGAGTTTCATAGGCTTGCTACCCTCGAGGTGTGATCAATCACATAAAAACAATATCGACAAAAATTGTATATGATTTAATTGCGTGCATTCGCAAATTTCACTCTTCCAATTTTGTTTATGTATAAAATGAAATTATGAGACTATATAGACAACCCGGACAAAGTTGAGGGACCAACTCCAACTTTGGGGAAAAAGAGTAAATTAAATCAAAAAATAATACCGAAAACGAAAAACGAAAGCAACCCGCTCTTTCCCTTTCTTTGTTTCCTACTAAAACCCCGAACTCAACTGCCTGCGCGCGGCATTAGTTCGTTGGGCTTCTTCGACTGCGTAGCAGCCAGCGCCCTGTCTCTCTCTCTCCCCCTTACTCTGCTCAATCCTCCTCCTCCTCCTCCTCATCATCCTCGTAAAATTAAACCTCACAGCAATCAATCAGTTGCCAAGTTTCCACAGAACCCAAATCAGAGCTTCCCGCAGACTTTTCTTCAATTTCCTTCCAACTTCTGCCCGCCATTCCACGCCCCTCTTGCCCTCCCTCTTCTCCTTCACTTCTCCGCCCATGGTTGCTGCTCCTTGACCCTCAGCAGCTCTTCCAGGTTCCTCTCCGTCTTCTCTCTCTCTCTCTCTCTATTTCTTTCCTTTTCTGTGATTCTAATTTTGACCTGGCATAGCATTCTTCCGGCCAACGGAGGATCAAAATTCTGCTCGTTAGCTTAGATAGCGAGTTGGAGTGAGAGAGGGAGAGGGAGAGGGAGAGAGAGTCTCGAAATGCTCTGATTGTGGTGTTGTTTCTTCAATCGAATTTTCGTTATCATGGATGTCGGTTTAGGTGTTAGCCGGAACAGGAAAAGGCACTGCTGGAAAAAAAAAATTTGAGCTGAACATCAAGTCAACAGTTATGATCAAGTCAACGCTGGCTGCTATCCCCTTCTTCTTCACCCTATCTAAACTGATTGAGAAGAGCGTTTGGTTTAATGGCTGGCAACGAACTCAATTTTACTTTGATCCTTTGGCTGTACCGTTACAACTCTGATCATGAAGTTGATTTATTCTCATTTAAAAGCTTCTCTTGGTACAAGGCTTTTGAGGGTTAGTTTATATTGGCTAGAACTGCTGCTTTCTTGAATATCTTTCTGAATGGGTTTTCTATATAACCCCAGTATTCTGCTTCTCATTACATAAGGTATCTTCTTCTGCTGCTGAGCTCCTTTTGTGTTTATGCTGCTTTCCCCCCAAATAGGTCATAGAGAGATGGCTAGTGATGACAAAGACGAGATGCCTATGCTTACAATGTCAGATGAAGTTGTGGATGATGCTAGATACAGGGACGTCCTCTTGAGGTCCCGTAGTGCCACATTCACGATCCCTATGGATAGATATGGGAACGAGAAGAATCATGGAGGCTTTACAGGTCCACTGCGCAGTGAAAGGAAAATGCCGTCGAGTCAGTTCAGTGGTCCGCTCTACATCAGCAGCCCATCTGAACATGTTTCGCATCAGAAGCCTAGTCTGCCAAGGAGCAAGACTGTGAAGCAGGATTTCCATCGGAGTGGTGATAAGCATGGCGCTAAGAATGAACATCTGTTGAGGTCCGGTCCATTGGGGATGTGCAGTGACCCTTACTGCACAACTTGTCCTAGTTATTATAATACCAACACAATAAAGCACAGACATTCAAGAACTTCCCTTATTTTTGACTCTCAGGTGAGAAAGCCTTGAATTTTTATTGAGTGGATTGCTGCAGAAAGTGAAAATGTTATTGATAGGAACTAAAGTTGCCCCTGGTTTTGGTGTCACCATTTATGCTTCATATGAGCACTGTGAGTGTTTTTAATGTGTAAATTGTTTTCTCACCTTTCATATTGTTTGGCCTTGCAGTTCCATAATGCTCTGTATGGTGATGCAAAAGGGTGGGCGAGGAGGTTCTTTTCTCATTTGACTCCATATATTCCTCCGGTCATGAATCCTCATGCTCGAATTGTTCAAAGATGGAACAAGTTTTTTGTCATTTCGTGCCTGGTGGCCATTTTTCTTGACCCGTTGTTTTTCTTCTTGCTAGCTGTGGACAAGGTACATCTCCTTTCCACTTCCATAACTCTTCACTATCTTTCTAGCATAATCCCAATTGGCCCAGAAAATTATTTTAAAAGGAAGGGAATATGGGAGGTGTTTTAGGGATTTGACACTCTGTAACTTGTAGTGGTTGGTACTTGGTTACTTATGTTTTTCATACACTTAACTTGGAGAGGTAAATGCCTATACAATGTAGTAGTTATGTTGTTTATATACCATCAATGGAGGGTCTCCACAGAGTATATATAAACTATGCAGAAGGTAATTGTATGAGCAACAAGTAAGCTTCGACTTGTGCTAGCCCGACTTTGATGGGTCAAAGTAATTTAACGTTTTCATGTCTCATGATGTGCCTTATGAACGTTAGTATTGCCAAGAATAGTTTTCCATGCTGCAACCGTGACTTGATATAGTGTTTGGTGATTTCTTCTAATTTCTTTCTTGGTTGGTATAGCGTAGCTTCCAAGTTTCTTTACATTCCACTTGTCTCTTCAGATGTCTTAATTTATTTGATTCCTTCTTATGGATACAGGGTAACAAGTGCATATACATCAACTTCCCGTTGACGACGACGATTGTGGTCTTAAGGAGTGTGACTGATTTTGTATACTTGTTGAACATACTTCTCCAGGTACAATTTACTTTACTGCCCGGATGTCTTAAAATAAATCTTCTAGTTTCTGCTTGTGTCGTGAGGAGAATGTGCTGGTGTAGTTTTGCTACGATGCATCTGCAAAGAAACCTTTTTTGTTTGCTTCCTTGGTACAGACGTGATTCATTCTCATAGCTAGAAGTGCCTCCTTTCTGACCTCTCGTTCTTCCTCTTTTTGCACTTCCCTTGTCATTCTTAGTTGGGCTAGTATGTTTGTATCATCCCCATTCAGAAATATTAGACGATGAACATGCTCTAGTGAATCTCTTAAGAGCTTCTGATCGTCTTACAGTTTCTTCTATAGGTCAACACTTTCTAATTAGTTTGACCTGATTCAACTGGAACAGTTTAGGTTGGCTTATGTAGCTCCTGAATCTACCGTGGTTGGTGCTGGAGAGTTAGTTGACCATCCCAAGAAGATTGCAAAGAATTACATACGTAGAAGCTTTTTCATTGATTTGTTCATTGTATTGCCTCTTCCTCAAGTAAGTTCATCTTATGCCTCCTCATTTTTGTTAGTTTTCGAATTGTAGCATTGCCTGCATTTCCGGCTACAGATTGTATGCCATATTCAGTGAACAATTGCATGATCTTTTCGAACTTCCTTGAATCTGTCACCTCTGTTATTCTCCCTATTCACTCATCTGTTAAATATATGCAGATCATCGTATTAATGGTTCTACCAGACGTCTTGGGAGCGTCTGGAGCCAATTATGCTAAAAATCTTTTGCGGGCAGCAGTTCTTGTACAATATATTCCCAGATTGTATAGGTTCTTACCACTTCTTATTGGCCAGTCAGAGAGTGGCTTCATATTTGAGACAGCATGGGCAAACTTCTTTATCAACCTTCTCACCTTTATGTTGTCCGGGCATGTAATGGGATCATGTTGGTACCTCTTTGGATTGCAGGTTAGCTGAAATATAATCATCTCTTACTTGTATGATGATGATACTTCGTCTTTATTTATTTTGTCCTGTTTTGATTAATTCAATAACACCCTTATCCAATATTTTGGCGCAGAGGGTTAATCAGTGCTTCCGTGATGCCTGCCATAATTCTAATATCACCAAGTGCATGAATTTCGTAGATTGTGGCCATGGTGATGACTTCAGAGAATTTTCTCGCAACCCAGAATGGAAGAATTGGACAGATAATGTCAATGCCACTGCCTGTTTTATGACAAGTGGTGGCTTTTCTTATGGGATTTATGTTCAGGCTGTCAATCTCACCACAGAAAGTAGTTTCATCACCAGATACATATATTCGTTGTTTTGGGGGTTCCAGGTAATCACATGGTTATTTTCAATATATTATCTGTCTTTCGTATGAGTACTTTCGTATTGGTATTTTTGTTATTATATCTCGTTGGGCTTCTGACATTGGAATTATTGACTCTTGGTGAAGCAAATCAGCACTCTTGCTGGAAACCAGGTACCAAGCTATTTTGTATGGGAAGTCCTTTTCACAATGTTAATTGTTGGACTTGGCCTATTGCTCTTTGCATTTCTCATCGGGAATATGCAGAACTTTCTTCAGGCTCTTGGAAGGAGGTACATTTTCCCCCCTCTTTCTTAATGTTGCCACGCCTATACTTAGACTATGATTAAGCATTCTACTTCTGCTAAACAACCATTTTCTTAATACTTTGTGTCATTTCCATATTTTAGGAGGTTAGAAATGTCTCTGAGACGACGTGATGTGGACCAGTGGATGAGTCATCGACGTTTGCCACAAGAACTAAGGAGGTACCACATTCATATATGTTTCATTTCTCAAGTTTCGCATTTGGACAATAATTTGCATACAATTCATTTTGATAGGTAGTGTCTCAAGTTAACATGTATACATATCATAGTCACTGAAGAAGTCTTGTTGATCAATTTTTAGTGTCTGTCGTTAGTTGAATGCAAAATTTGTTGTACTTCAATCCACTTTGTGGATTAAACAAGACTTAGTTGATTAAACAAGAGAAAGAAGACAACTTTGATGTTATCTGGCATAGTAGAGACTGGATCAAATAGTATTTGCTTACATTATTTTCCTTTGATTTGTCTTATAGATTGACTTAGCTTAGTCTTACTAAATTTATTGTTGGGATACAGGAAAGTGGTTGAAGCTGAAAGGTACAATTGGGCTGCGACTAGAGGAGTCAATGAAGAACTGCTATTGGAGAATTTACCTGAAGATATCCAGAGAGAAATTAGAAGGCATTTGTTCAAGTTTGTCAAGCAAGTGAGTCGTCCTGGGATATTTGAATGCCAACCCTCCTTTTGTTATCTTTCTTTCTTTTCCAATCATCACAGCAATATCAAACATTCGGTGCCTCAGGTTTGGATATTTGGGTTGATGGATGATAATGTACTGGACGCAATCTGCGAGAAACTGAAACAGAGAATATACATCAACGGCAGTGAAATCTTCTACCGCGGTGGCGTGGTTGATAAGATGGTGTTCATCGTGCGGGGAAAGTTGGAGAGCGTGGGGGTGGACGGAACTGAAATCATTCTGTCCGAAGGCCAAGTATGCGGGGAGGAACTCCTAACATGGTGTCTTGAGCATGCTTCTTCAGTCAATAAAGGTAACTAACTATGTCTCTCCAGTCAGAGTCATAACAATCACTCTTATATTTACAAGAACATACAATCAAACGTTTCTACATCGGGTCGAGTAATGAATCTGCAGAAGGGAAGAAAATCAAGATGCCAGGGCAGAGACTAATCAGCAGCAGAACGGTAAGGTGCTTAACCAACGTGGAGGCGTTCTCGCTTCGAGCAATCGACCTGGAAGATGTCACCAGCATTTTCGCCAGGAGCTTGAGGAATCCACGAGTCCAAGGCGCCATAAGGTCATTCTTTTTTCGCTTGCTTCTTCACGTATACATTGCCTATAGGTTCAATGCTAATAGTAGTTCTATGTGCTATCCAGTTATATGCATGGTTGTGCCATTGACTCGTTGTAATCACAGGTATGCATCCCCTTACTGGAGAAGCATAGCAGCAATGCGGATTCAAGTTGCGTGGAGGTATCGTCAGAAGCGATTGAAGCGAATGGAGAGTACTACTACTAACACTGAGATGAGACCCAGCTGGGCTTCGTCGTACCCTCGTCCCCAGCTTCATTACCCTCGTGCGTGATGTATCGATACATACAGTCGATCTATAGATGGTAAGATAGACGAGCCATTGATGAAAGGTAGATAGATAGATATGTAGTTAATTCATGTATCTTCTGTGTATATAATATATATAATAGAACACTTCGCCGCCATTATATGCTTCCTTAATCATTGAACTTCATCCATGTACTGGAGAAGCATTTTGTTATCATCCATGTCGGGGAAGAAGAGAAGAATGAGTGCAATAATATCAGATCCAGTGTCTTGGTGTTGTTTCCTTGGGACTCATTGTGCTACTTATGAATAGACATGCCATGTTTTCATCCATGTTGTTCCCGTGGTCCTACTAAGTCCAAAACAAATTCGTGTAATAGGACTTGTGTTCTTGCCAATTTCATACTTTAGTACAATGGGTTTGGGTGATAATTTGTTCCCCTTTTATATTGAGCCCCTTTAAAGTGTTTCAAGAAAAGCCTTGATCAAATTAGAAACTAGAGCAATCAATCCATGACCATTAATAATAGTCATATTATCAACCTCTTAAGTGTGCTAAGCTCGTATAAACAGTTGGAAGCTATTGAGACCTAAACAAACAGATTGTCATTGGTTCAAATTACGTCTCTATTGCTTAACTTTACATTACTAATCACATTATTATTCGCAATCTAAAGTGGTCACGAGAGTAAGGTTTTCAAATGGTAAGTCATTCTTATTCTAATTGAGTCATGCATAACAGTTTGATTCTCGACGTACTAAAAGAGACAGTTCATGTCGCGTTAATTTTGGGTGACAACTCGCAAGTTTTATTATTCATATTCACAGTAAAATATGTTCATCTCCCCTTCGTAACATCTTTTCCCAAAGCCAATCAACCAGGCACCAACATTAAGGAAGTATTATGCACATCAGGGTGGGAAACATCGTTTTTAGTGAAGTCATTCGCTATTTTCCACATCCGGCCTCCCCTGGCTGCTTGTCTTGATCGGAAACTCGGTGTTTCCTCGGAGTTTGGTAGCTCAGTCATTATCTTCTACTCTCTTTGGACTTGATCTCTCTGCCCGACTCCCTCTGCCTCCCCAGCTCGAGCAGTCCGTTTCACTTCCTTGTCCACCGACATGTAATCTCGTTTTTAAGATACACTTTGATGGATGTCTTATAGCAATTAATCCCCAAGAGGCGGCATGGACTTCGTTGTGATCGGACGAGCTCGTGGTTTTCTTGGTGTTATACTTAGTTTGTTTTGGAAGCAAGAGAGATTTTGGGTGTATTGTATTTGGATAAGTGTTCGGATACTTTGATGGGTTGATTTCACTTTTTGTTTTTGCTCCTCATCGGTGTTTCTCTCTAACACGATTTATTTTCAACCGATTGCTCTTGAATGCTTTATTCTTGTTTTAATTACAGTATATTTTTATATCCCTTTTGTTACCGTCTTACCGATAGTTCATAGTACAATGCAAATGCCTTAAAAAAACTCCAAAAAAAAATCTAACAAGTAACAAGTAGTGGATGGTGGGGCAAAGGGTTGCGGGAACTGAAAGACCATCTCCATCAAATTAGCATTTAGCAAAGCAACAAAAATGAAGGTTATGTATATGTCATGTCTATCAAAAATTTTGGCTCTTCCTTTCCCACCTCTCCATCTATCTATCAAGCAAGCGATGAATTTTATCTTTTCAGCGTTCAATCAGTTTTCCTTTTCCAGAAAGCGAAATGGACCCAAAAAGAAGACAAGTGAAAGAGAAGAGAAGAAAAGGAAGAAATGGGCAATTGGGCATTCATTCAATTCAATCAAAAGGTAGGGAATGGCCCCCAAATGCCATTAAATTCCCCAATTCGAAGTTCCCAAACCTAAAACTTTTTACTTATCCAAAGAGACCCTTTTTCTCTCTTGTGTCCCCCCAACGGCCCACACCAAAACCAAATTCTGTCCCTAAAATTATATCATTCAACAAGCTTCTTCCTCCTCCTTTGCACACGTCCACATTTCCCCAGCTATCGTTGTTAAATTGACTTCTCAAAAAGAAATTAATAATTGTGAATTGGTTTGGAATCTAGCTAGTTGGGCGTTTTTCTTATTAGTATTAATCATTGCTTAAGGGATTACTGACATGATGATACCAACAATTGAACATTGTATTAAAGATCAAAGAAAGATAACTAATGTTACTACAACACTTATGTCTGTGAAACATGAATATCGTGAGTTTTTACCCCAGAGAAAGAAAGGAAGGAACCATTTTTGTTTCGGGTTGCATGTAAATATACTATGAATCAGATTCGATAGACTTTTCTAGTCGGTTGATATAGAATTTGATTCGGTTCAAATCTCTTTTCATATTGGACAACTTCTTTGAAGCCCAAAATATAAAAATGAATCGAATCTCAATTCTCAACCAACCACACTACTAAACTGACCGAAATTAATTTTTGGTTCCGATTTGATTCGAGTCAATTTCGACCCGGGTCATTGCCAACTCCTATTTCAGTATGGTCCAAAATAGAGAGAGGCTTTCTGAAATTATTATGTAGAGTAAGTCTCCATCAAGCTCATCAAATGTCCCTCTTTTTATAGGTCGTGTAATTACTTACATCCGAGTGCATGCAAACCTACCCTTCATTTAAAGCGGCAAGTCAAAACCTTAACCCTAGTTCCCCATCTGCACTCAATTAATTAACAACACTGAACCCACAACCAGGTAGCAATTTTGCCAGTACATTTTCTACACTGAGATCCCCCATAAACAAGCCCTTAAACTCATTCCAAAATTCGACGATCCTAATGAATGGGATAGGCATAATTTTTGTGCTCGCGCTTTCAACCATCAGAAACCTCGCGACCCAACAGACATCCGATCGCGAATCTAACGCCTGAGAAGGCTTAAACTCAGGCAGGATTGAGTACTAATCAAAGGGGAAGAGAAAGAAGAAGAAGAAGAAGAAAAACGAGCAGAGACAAAGTTCGGTAAAAGAGGGGAGAAGCAGGGAAAAGTCAAATGGTGAATTGATTCATTGACAAGACCATACAAAATCCCAAAGACAAAAGAAAAAAAAGAGTTCACAATCTGACCAGAAGAAGTCAATACCCGAACCACACAAATTTCTTTGGGTCTCTCTTCTTCTTGCTGCTGGCAGTGAAAGAGACTCCCATCCCCCTGCTCTCCTTCCAGCAAGCAAAAGAAAAAGACACCATTGTTTGTATTGTATGGTGCGTTCTTGACTCCCTTCATTAATGGAACTCTGACCATTCACTCAACTTCCCTCCCTTCCTTCCTTCACTACTATTACTACTACTCCTTGTTCCAAGGTAACAGCTAAGGAAAAACCCCAATAATTTGTTCAACAAGAAAAAAAAAAGAAAAAGAAACCCTTTGCCTTAAAGACCCAAAATAATAACACCCAGTAGTACCAGTATGTGAGAGTTGGTGTAGATTGTAAATGAAGCTTGGCAGCATCCAGCAGAATCCAGCAGCAACAGCACAACTAAACAGCAACCAGCAGCAGCAGCAGCAGTAAATGTCAAATGTAAATGAGGAAGGCATCTTCAGACTAACCCCCTAAATAACTGCAATACCTCCTCCCTCCCACAACATCATTCAATACCACCATCCACCACACAAGCTTAAGTCCGTCGATGAAGATCACAATCAGGAACTAGGACAATCCAAGGCTGCCTTGATCTGCTGAATAGTTGTGCCGATAACGTTGTTGATTGTGTTTACTGACTCCATGTTTAGCTTGGCTGATGGCAAGCTGCTCACTAGTATTTGAAATGCTACTGTGATTAGTGAACCACCGCTTGACTTTGCAATACCACTTCCAATTCCTCCATTCGAGCTTGTCGAAGCCCCATCCCCCAACAAAGGTTCCCCTCTTAGATTTCCGTCAGAGCAGATTGTGAACCCTGATGGCAACAACGGGATACAAGACGGGTCCTCACCGCTCATTGCCATGTTCATGGCTTGGACCTCAACCGGACAATGCACTACAAGAGAACCTGATGAGTCTATGCAGCTCTCCTGAAGTACAACCATACTGTTCTGACTACTGCTGAAGGCCTATATACAATTGATCGCACAAGAAAATGGAACCTTCTGTTATGGAACATCCAACCCACGAAATGGAAAATGCTTAAGAGTGTTGAAGTGGACTTACACGAAGAATAGATATGCAATTCCCCGGATGAGATCCATTTGCAAGATGGGTGATCTCTTCGACTCCAGATCCACTAGAAAGAACATCCCACTACAACACAAGGATAACATGGCAATAAGGACCTTTGCTGGTTCGGTATCATAACCTACTCTGTTTAATCTTCCCAAGTTCACTCAGTTACCTGTGATCGTGTTTTTTCATCCTTGAAGAAGTTGAACACGTTCTGGGGTGAAACTGGAAGCCAAAATGTGGTAGCTGCACAAAGAAACATACCACTGGGTTGGCCTGGATCGGAACCCCTGCGAAAAGTAACTCGAACACCAGTTTCATTCAACCCAGACAGTGTCGTCCACTGGTGGCTGTTAGATGCACTGATACTTGAGCAAAAACTATTCACCATTCTCTGAGCAAGTTTCATCAAGCTTCGCTTGCCTTCAGGAGATGGAATCACTGAGAGGTGGACGAGGAGTTAGGAAACATGGTTGCTTATATCTAAACTTGTAAGAGTATGAATAATATGTTCCAATTAATCAAAAGTCATTGTACCTCCTCCAAGATCTCGTGTTGATGTATTTGAAACCATCAGACATGCATACCGCTCGCACATTCTTTGGAGTGTAGTAAGCCACCGCTCAGCACCAAATGCCATCCCGCTATAGATGAGATCTCTATAAAGCCGGTGGATTGGAGCCCTGTCTTCAATCTCAACATGTTCCACCCAAGTTACCTGTTTGGGCATTTCAGAATAAACAGTTAAGACATTGATAGTGCTATTACTGGCAAGACCTCAAACACTGAATTGGGTCAACAGTCTACCTTGCAGTATCCATTAGGCATATCCTCGATCAAGCATCCAGAAGGAAGCCGCTGGGATCGAAACTGAGAAGCAAATTGAGGTATATCATAAGAAACATTCACAATCGCCCACGCCCCTTGTTCAATTTGCTGACAGTACCGAAGGATGTAGAATTCCCTAGTTGGCACTAATGGCGAAAGAAGTTGCAATTCTTCATACATCTACACAAGAACACAAACAAAATTATTTCACTAACAAAATACCACTGCTATAATAGGAAAACATCAAAATAAGTAATGCACATTGACTTTTTCCCCATACCAGCTGCAAACAGCCACTGTGCGCACCCATCAGTCCTGAAGATACTAATTCAATGGTCTTTGCCGTCGAAACAATTGTTGGGAATAGTTCAACCCACTTGCTCTGCATATTATAAATACAGGAATCAACTCAAGACACATACTGTAACATCTAATCACATAAATGAAGACCAGGAAAGCTTAATAACAATAACTCACAGAATCCATAAACATGTCGACCAAGGCTAACCCATTCATGATAACAACACCAGAATCTCTGGATGCTTCAATTCTAACATTGGGATTCTTCAGATGATCATTGACCTTTGGGAAAAGCCTTTGGTAGGCTTCCAGATTAAGAACATCCCTTCCATCCGTGGAAGACTTCATCCACAGAGGTTCATCCGTTTTCAGAAGCCTTAATAGTTCATCCAAGGCATTTGCAGCAACATCCGTCATTAATGACTTGTCCACATTAGAAATGCCCAATGGTTGGAAGGGCAAATTCGCTGGAGGTGGGAGAAGATCAAGATCAAGGTCCAGGGAAGGACCACCACCCATTGCATGCCCTCCAAAAGTAGCCATTGACAAATCTAAGGAAGAAACATGAATTGGCTGTACTGGAGGCAGGTGGGAAATTGGCCTCCCTATGTACTTGGCAGCAATGCTGGAAACTCTATCAAGCTACAATTTAGCAAACCCAAAAACAAAATCAAGCTACAGAAAAACAATCAGCCAAAATAGAAAAAGGGAAATAAGGGGAGTGCAGAAGAACAAACGAACCTCATCTTTCAACTGAGCATTCTCCATTCGCAATTTGTGTTCATCAAAATAACAATCTACCGTCACCGGAGGACCTCCACAAGATGGGCAAATGACATTCTTCAATGCCTCTCTGATGGCTATGTTCTCACATCTGATCTTATCGTTTTCAGCTCTAAGTGCGCAGTTGTCTGCTCTTTCGTGCTGGGCCTAAAACCATTCATTTCCATAGAAATGTAGCAGAGTAACTAACTGAATGGTTCGGAAGAAGACAAAAGAAACAATTCTGATGAGTACCTTCATCTGGGTTCTCCGGTTTTGGAACCAAAACTTGATCTGCCGGGGCGACAGACCTAACTCCCTACTCAGGTACAACCTCTGCTTCTCGTCCGGATGCGGGCATTCTTTGAACATCCTTCATTCGTTCAATAAAAAAAAACCCATCAATCCTTTTGCTCCATAAACAACGATCATGCAGAGAAACAGTGAAACAAACGAGGGCATAGAGAGGGAGAGGGAGGAAGCATACGCTTCGAGTTTCTGAATCTGGGTAGCAGTATGACGATGGTACCGCTTCTTCTTGCGCTGAGGGTCGGCGGGAGAGGAATCATGGTCCCCACTAGGCCCACTCCCATTTCCGCCTCCGCCGCCGCCTAAAACGCCACCAAGACCGACGCTACTGTACTCCATTATAAGAGATCCGAGCTATCGGAGAACGGAAGCGGGGGAAGTAGAGGCTGCTCTCTGCTCTCTCTATCTCGGCCTGCGTTTGCGTGAAGGGAAAACAGAGTGTGTGGTGGTCGCCTCTTGCCGGGATTGGAATCAAGAGGAAACAAATGGCGGTAGCTTGTGCTTAGGGCCGGGTTCTTTTTTCCCTAAGGTTTAATTTAAAGACTAAGAACCCTTGAGAGAGAGGCTGTAATGGGGTTTTCTAGCTATAGCTACTGTCTCTCTAATACTGGAGTTCACCAGTCTGATGATAAGGGAAGTGGGAGTGTAAATGGCTTGTTGGTGTGGTGGGTGATAGATGGGTGTAAATGAGACCAACCCTCCCACTCTCCTTCTTAATGGTTTCTGTAACCCACAATAAAGAAGAAGCAGCAGCAGCAGAGACGAACCGAGGAAAGGGGGGAAATCAAAAAAAAAAACCCCCAACTTTAATTTCACCCAACGAGAAAAATCAAAAAGAAGAAAAGTGCAATTAATAACCCGCTAAGTACGTCGCTATAAATTAGCTCCGGCGAAGAGGAAGGAGGAGGAGAAGGGAATCGGCGGCGGAGGGGGCGGAGGAGGAGGGAGAGGAGAGTAGTAACGGAAGAAGAAGGGGAGGGAGAGGGTATAAATGCGATTGCTGATTTTCTGTTTGGAGAGGTTTAAATTCATTCTGAGAAAGAAAGAAAGAGAAAATAGGAATCACTTCGAGGAGGGCGGGGGAGTTGGGGGAGGGACACTCTGTTTCTCTCTCCAGAATTTAATGACAGTTGAACTTCTTGAAGAACAAAAAGAGGGAAGAAGAGAAGAAGAGGAAATTGATTTTTCATTTTTTTCTTCTTTTTTGTGGGCTTATTTTACTGTTTAGGTTTTTTCTCAGGGGGTTGGTTGGTTGGGTTTTTGGTTGGTTGGGTGAGTGAGTGGTACATTCAGTTTCAGAGAGACTAGCCCACCCAGGACCAGGCCGTGAGACACTACACTAGCGTTAAACTACCAAATCACTCCCCCAATTTAAACTTTATTGACGTCCGAGTCCTTGGAGTTGTTAATTTTGGGATTATAGTTTTCCCCCTTTTCTTTTACACTCTGTTTGGGAAGAGGGGTAAATGGGAGGAGGGTGCAAATGTGAGGGGTAAACACAGTTTCCAACACATTGGCACCTGTTTGGTTAATTTGGAACAGTAGGGGGGTGCAAAACGAGAGTGCAAATTTACTGTTTCGGCTTACCCCCCAAATTGGGGTGCAAAGGAAGGAAGGAAGAGAGGGGGAGGGGGGAATTATGGAATTTTGTTTTTCTAATTGTGTTATATATAATTATATAATAATTAATATTATCAATTTCTTCTTTTTATAAATATCATTAATGTAAACATTATTCGGGGTTGGCCATTTGACTCTGGAAACAAGTTTATAAATGTTCGTCAAGTCAAATCTAGATCTCTTGGTTGAATCGAATTTGCATTGAAAATTAGATATACAAGGTGTTTGTGGAAAAGATAGAGAGAAATTGTTTGGTTAACTCATTTTATTTGACTAAATAGTTAAAACTTACAAATTCGAACGTGTTTGACTAAGTTTGACAATTTAAGATTAAACTAGACACGAAAACCCTATATAGGATGACCAGTTAGGAGTTGAGCTTCGAGTTTTGAGATCGCTCGATCAATGATTATTACAATTGTTATAATTAATTATTATTTGAGCATTATTATATAATAACTATTTTTAGTAAAGTATATTTATTATTATATAGTAATATTTATTTTATTATTTTATGATAATATTTATAATTTTTAAATCTATTTTATAATTTTAAAATCTATTTTAAAATAATATAATTACTTACTTTGCACTTTATTTGCACCCCCCTACTTTTTCATCCAAACAACAATTTACCCCTCCACTTACACCCCCTAGCAATTTGCCCCTCAACTTGCACCCTCCTGCAATTTGCACCCCCCTTGTTGCCAAACAGAGCGTTAGTTTGCTACGAACCTACAACTAGGGCTGCAAATGAGCCGAGTCAAGCCGAGTTTTACCCCAGTTTGAGCTCGGCTAGTTTATTAACGAGCCGAGTCGAGTTCGAGCTAGCTTGTTTATTAAAATCTTAACTTTTATTTGGTACTTCATTTTGTATATCATGATACATATGATTTATTTTGTTAGTTAATCTCATCTTATACTTTATACTTTGTTGGTATCATATATCGCTTAGTTAATAAATTTTAACTACTCCAAATCATGTTATTTCATTTTATCGAAGCAATCTATGATGCATAATTTCTTTTTAAAGTAGAAAATAAGATATATTTGCTCACATACTCAACGTGCAAAACTTTATATATGGTGAGATATATAAATTAACAACCATATGAATTAAAATCATAAGATATAGATTGATTCGTCCATAAGTTGGTAATCGAGTTGGCTCTCTAGCCACATGTTAAGACATATCATGAGCTCTAAACGAGCCAACTCACGAGTTTAGCTCAACAAGCCACTGAGTCGAGCTAGCTTGCGAGCTTCACGAGATGAACAAAGGTGAGCTCGTGTTTGGCTCGTTTAGTAACGAGAGTTTCGAACGAGCTTTTCTCGAGTCGAACGTCGAGCCGCTCGCGAGCAGCTCGACTTATTTGCAGCCCTACCTACAACATCACTTGTAAGTTTCCTATTTTACATACTAGTTGTTTTGCTTCGAATTGATTGTTCTCATCGTTATAAGTTTTTTTTATTTTAACTACAACACTCGCATAGAATCATATTTGCTCATTTAATGGATTTATGTACACGACATCATATCAACCAACCAATGTCACACCAATGCAAATTTCTCAATAAATATTTGGTTTGGAAGGTAACAAAAAAATTTGCACTTCTATCAAGGAGGTTGCTAGTTCAATTTCTCACTAATTAGCTCTTTTGAAAAGAAACATAATTCGTACAACTTGAACTCAAACGGTTTGTTGATAATAAAAAAAGAAATTTAAATGAACTCATACTACCAATTTTCCCGGAAAAAATCCCAAGTTACACATGTTTTTAAAAAAAAATTCTCAAAATACAAACGTTATGAAAATAATTCCCAATCTACGTTAGTTTGGGCCATCACCGCTGTCGACGAAGACAGTGATTGCATCACCGCTGTCGACGAAGACAGTGATTGCATCACCGCTGTCGACGAAGACAGTGATTGCATCACTGTTGTCGACGAAGACAGTGATTGCATCACCGCTGTCGACGAAGACAGTGATTGCATCACTGCAGTACACGGCCGCGGTGAAGGCCTGACCTGCGTCGAAACTTTAAACAAACGTAACTTTGTGCTCGGTTATCCGATCGTAGCGAAATTTTTTTTGATTCCGCATAATTTTTCGAGATCTTGCAAGCCGCAAATTACCGTAGGCGGTTTGGTGCCGCCTTCGTCTCGAAAATATGTCGTTTGCTACCCCGAACGAGCCTTTTTTCGATTTCGTCAAACTTTGAACGACCATAACTTTGTGCTCCACAATCCGAAAATCATGAATTTTTTTTTATTTCGAATAACTTTTTAAGGACTACAATTTTTATCATAGACATATTTTCGGAATGTACTTGGATTCCTGAAAAGGAAGGTAAAGTTATTCCCAAAATCCCTTATATCCATAAATAATTCATTTTTTGAAAATTCTCTCCTACTAAATATTGTAGTCCTTAAAAATTTATGCGAAATCAAAAAAAATTCATGATTTTCGGATTGTGGAGCACAAAGTTATGGTCGTTCAAAGTTTGACGAAATCGAAAAAAGGCTCGTTCGAAGTAGCAAACGACATATTTTCGAGACGAAGGCGGGACCAAACCGCCTACGGCAATTTGCGGCTTGCAAGATCTCGAAAAATTATGCGGAATCAAAAAAAATTTCGCTACGATCGGATAACCGAGCACAAAGTTACGTTTGTTTAAAGTTTCGACGCAGGTCAGGCCTTCACCGCGCCCGTGTACTGCAGTGATGCAATCACTGTCTTCGTCGACAGCGGTGATGCAATCACTGTCTTCGTCGACAACAGTGATGCAATCACTGTCTTCGTCGACAGCGGTGATGGCCCAAACTAACGTAGATTGGGAATTATTTTCATAACTTGTGTATTTTGAGAATTTTTTTTAAAAACATGTGTAACTTGGGATTTTTTCCAATTTTCCCTATAAGACTTTATAACACAGTTGTTTAGTACATGTTTCTTTACAAAAAAAAACGTTCAAAGTAATGATTGCAAAGGTGTTGTGTGAAGTGACGATCGACTCTCCGATTGTAGGAGTACTACTTATGAGAGTTTGGATCTCCTGCACCAATATCAGCAGTACCAATTATAATATATCGGCTTTTTTTTTTACAAAAGATAATCTTCATTGATCAACAAAAGATAGTTACACCCTGGACAAGAGCCAGGCATGAAAATCAAAGCAACGACTCGCAGTCGGGTACAAAGAGAGGGCCTTACGAGCCACCAAGTGGGCTACCCTATTGCTACCCCGACCTACAAATCTAACACTAAACCCTGAGCGGCCCGCCAAGTGATGAATAATTTCAGCAAGAATAGCACCAATCCGACTATCACTAACATCCGCTTGGTTGATTTTATCGATGATAACCTTAGCATCACCTTCCAAACGCACCTCCATGACACCGCGCTGCAGGCACCAGGTAACAGCTTCCCGGAGAGTCAGAACTTCAGCTACCAAAGGGTCATCAATACCAGGAAACTGAACCCCACTAGCCATCAGGATCTCTCTAGCCGGGGTCAAAAGAACAATCCCCCCTGCAGCATGGGATCCCCGTTTCGTAGCCCCATCCCACATACAAATCAGCTTATCCGTCTCTCCCCCCACCAGCTGACGTGAAGGAGGACTGGAGGACAAAGGTTGCCTATCCACCGGCAACCCAATCCACTCCTCTACCTGCTGATTGTATTGACGCATCAGAGCAGAGATCCCAAATTGCTTGCCCTCAAAGACTACCCAGTTCCGGGAACGCCATATCCGCCAAAGGATTGCAATAACCGCCATGAGAACGGACGGCTGATCAATCAGCGACATTAACCGCTTCAGGAACAAGGGAAAAGTTTGCCGAGGCAAACCCTCTCCCAGGGTGGAAAGCCCCGAATAGTCCCAGAGAGCTTGAGCCACCAGGCAGTAGAAGAACAAATGTTCTAACGTTTCAGACCCACCCCAGCAAACCGGGCATCTAGGCAAAACCGGAACACCTCTCTCGATGAGGGCCTCCGTCGTGGGAATAATGCGATTAAGGATTTGCCATCCAAACACCTTCAATTTGGGCGGCAGATTAGCCTCCCACAACCTAATCCAACTCGCCTTATCCATTCCGCTAACCTCAGTCCGCCACCGACCCTTCCTTCGATCAAGGGTCACCGCCAAATGATAAGCCGACTTTACTGTGAAAATGTCGGCTAGTTAGCTTATAAAGTGGCTAATTCAGTGTCTCATTTATCAAGTTATTCATAAAAAAGTCATAGAGAATGAGAGGTTTAATCGTAGGTTGTTGGCAAAGTGGTGGAGACAGGATTAGAAACTACCCATGTCCTCTTTTTAAAATATAAATATATAATCAATAAAAATTTAATAAATATAATTAAAAGTAATAATATTCAAATAATTCATTCATAGATAAAGAAACAATCAACTAATACAATTATATTTTGCATAAACAACCACGACGAGTTTTCATATTGCGAAACAAATGCAAAATACATTTGTTGTGTACACTTTTAAGCA